GGTGCAACTCTGGGCTGGGGGGGGGGGTGTCATGTGATGGTTCCCTGGCAGCAGAATGGTGCTCTGGAGAGGGTCTGCTGGCAAAGGAACAGCCATACACTGGGATCGGTGCACGCACAGGGGGGTGTTGCCCGAAACAGTGCCAGCCGGCCCGCAGTCTGATCAAGAATGCAGCCTTTTTAACCTGCTGGCACGCAAGTCCTCCGATGTGGTTGGCACAGGTGTGCCACCGAGGAGGAGAACAGGTGTCGAGGCTCTGAGCCTGGCACAGGGATGGGCTTTCTTTGAACCAATAAATAAATAAACAAACAATGCAATGGGGGGGGATCATGATGCCTTTAAACGGCACCTGGAAGACCAATACTCGGATTACAGGCAGTCCTTGACTTATAACCGATATTTAGTGACTGTTTCAAGTTCAGACCGACCCCTCAGGACCCGAGTTTGATCTCTTCCCACAGTCAAGGGACAGATGCTAGGCAACGGCTCGCATTTACAGCCAGTTCGCAGCTTCCTGCCTTCACGTGACTGCATTTTATGAGATTTTTGCCTTAAACCGGCATTTACTTCCAATTTTTGGCACAACTGGCCCATTGTGAACAATGGGTTCGCTGTCAGCCCTGGAGCCATTTTCCCCCTGGCACCTTCAGGGTTGCCCCAACGGAGATGAGTCGAGCTGTGGGAATGGGAGGGGGAGGTAGAGATAGTTGGGAGGATTGTAGCCAAAATAAAATTCTTTCCTCTGAGAATCAAGGACTTTCCCACCAGGTGCTAAGGAGGCGGGATCTAGGACCACGTGACCCTTGGACTGTGACGTGATTGGACCATGTGATGGACTGCATGAGCAGTGGGAGGAAACCTTTACTTTTAACTAGGGGGAAACACGGGGGGGTTTAATGTTGGGTTTCCCCAGATGTCCCAATTTGTTGTTGGTTGCGAAGTCATGTCTGGCCCATTGCGACCCCATGGACAAGGTTCCTCCAGGCCTTCCTGTCCTCTACCATCCCCCGGAGTCCATTTAAGCTCACGCCGACTGCTTCAGTGACTCCATCCAGCCACCTCATTCTCTGTTGTCCCTTCTTCTTCTTTTGCCCTCCCATCGTTCCCAGCATTAGGCTCTTCTCCAAGGAGTCCTTCTTTCTCATTAGGTGGCCAAAGTATTTGAGTTTCATCTTCAGGAATCTGGCCTTCTCAAGAGCAGTCAGGGTTGATCTCCTCTAGGACTGACCGGTTGGATCGCCTTGCAGTCCAAGGGACTCGCAGGAGTCTTCTCCAGCACCAGAGTTCAAAGGCCTCAATTCTTTGGCGCTCAGCCTTCCTTATGGTCCAACTTTCACAGCCATCCATTGCAACTGGGAAAACCATAGCCTTGACTATATGCACTTTTGTTGGCAGGGTGATGTCTCTGCTTTTTAGTACGCTGTCTAACTTTGCCATAGCTTTCCTCCCCAGGAGCAAGTGTCCTTTAATTTCTTGGCTGCAGTCTCCATCTGCAATGATCTCAGAGCCCAGGAAAATAAAATCTGTCACTACCTCCATTTCTTCCCCATCTATTTGCCAGGAATTGAGAGGGCCGGATGCCGTGATCTTAGTTTTCTTAGATGTGCCAATGTGACATGCCTAATAAATCTATACTTTGAGGAATACGTCTGCCTTGGAGTTTTGATTCCGTTGAGTGTCTTACTTGGAACCCTGACATTCGCTTTGTGACTGCTGCAAAAAGATTGTAAAATCTGATAAGAGGGAGGAGGGGGGGAATTGACTTGTTTTATGACCGTTACGACTGTAATGGGTAGTCCTCAGGACAGTCCTAGCGGGAGAATTAACTGTATCATGCAAGCTTCACCAATCGTGTCATGCCTTCTAGAGTTCTTCTCCCAGGAGCTGTTGGCAAGCCCATCTCTGGGAGAGCTGATTGACGAAGTCTTCGATTCTGCCAGGGATAGGTTTCAAACTGGGGAACACCTCGAACCCCCCCCCCCCACACACACACACACTTATCACGATAAATCCATTTCTGTCAGTCCTCCCACCCGTCCCTCCAAGAATGACAGCTAAAGAACAAATAACAACGGTTGGCAGATGGTTGGTACAGATGGCAAGACCCACAGATTAAGCTCTCTTTCCAACCCGCTGTGGGTTTCGCCCAGACAAGCCAGGATCCAGTCATGACGGCATTCTCCCCAGGAACCGTCTTCAGAGGTGGGGGTGGGAGATACCCAAAGGGGCCAGGCCAGCTATACATGTCATGCTCCTTCTAACATCTTGCCTAATTATGATTCTGCCTGCAAATGTTCCTAGTTTCTCCTCAGGCTGAAATCTGTGTTGTTGTTGTTTTTAAGTGACCCATCTGAATTGTTTGTGATCCTGATCCCCACCTGGGGGAAAGGAGGGTAGTCTAAGCAGGCTTTTTCAAAGTTTGCAAAACGCACCCCCCCCCGAGAGCCAGGAGATCCTGAGGAGAAACGGCAGAAAAAGAAAGAAAAATATTCTGTTGAACAAAGCCAATTTTCTATCAATAGAATGGAATTAGAATAGAATAGAATAGAATAGAATAGAATAGAATAGAATAGAATAACAGAGTTGGAAGGGACCTTGGAGGTCTTCTAGTCCAACCCCCTGCTTAGGCAGGAAACCCTACACCACTTCAGACAAATGGTTATCCACTCTCTTCTTAAAAACTTCCAGTGTTGGAGCATTCACAACTTCTGGAGGCAAGTCGTTCCATGGATTAATTGTTCTAACTGTCAGGAAATTTCTCCTTAGTTCTAAGTTGCTTCTCTCCTTGATTAGTTTCCATCTGTTGCTTCCCCAATAAAATGACCTTTATCCATTCTGTGTTTCTGGTTGATAAGACTTGATTCCTCTCCCACCAAGACATTTGAATCCAGGGAATGGAGTGCCCCTTTGATGGTTTTAATTACCCCATTTGGTCCCATAAATCCATGGTATATATTTCCCTAGTTTTTAAAAATGCTATATATTTACTCTTATTAATGCTATATATTTACTCTTATTTTCATCACATGCACCTCAGAAACTTCATTACTTTAGCAGATTAACAGAGTTAATCCAACCCACTGTCCTAGCAGAAAACCCTACACCATTTCTGACAGATGGCAGTCCAGTCTCTTCTGGAAAGCTTCCAGTGATGAAGCTCCCACAACTTCTGAAGGCAACTTCTGTTCCATTGGTTGATTGTTCTCACTGTCAGAAAATGTCTCCTTATTTCCAGGTTGAATCTCTCCTTGTTCAGTTTCCATCCATTATTCCTTGTCTGGCCTTCGGGTGCCTTGGAAAATAGCTTGACCCCCTCCTCTCTGTGGCAGCCCCTCAAATATTGCAACACTGCTATCATGTCTCCTCTGGTCCTTTTCTTCACTAGACTAGCCATGCCCAGTTCTTGCAACCCTTCATCGTTGAGTTGGGCAGTCTTATAGCTATGAAACAAACATTTTTACATTAGGGTTTTTTCTATCACCATTGTTATCTGAACAACCGGATCTTTTTCTATTGCTATGCTTGAATGTTTGTGGCAGGTGTCACATCAAATAAAAGATGCCATCACTTCTGCTATTATATTCCAAGCGCTGTATTTTTACTTTTAGCGAAGAAGAAAACAGCATTGACATCCAGTTCTATACAGTCGTTCATTATTAGTCAGGTAATTTCAAAATTCTTCTCACTTATTCTTGATACAGAATCATTAAAAAAAAAAAACTGGACATTGCCTGAAGTGTTTTATAATTTTAAAATTTCCATTTCAGTAGAAAGTTTTGCTTAAGATGATTCCAAAATAAATGGATGACTTGAAATTGTAGCTTCTCTCTCTCTCTCTCTCTCTCTCTCTCTCTCTCTCTCTCTCTCTCTCTCTCTCTCTCTCTCTCTCTCTTGCAGTTGGACAAATACACTTCACGTACAAGGATGGTGTAGATAAATTATGATGTTTTCTTCTGCTGTGGCTGGAGGCAAGAGCTTTTTTTAAACTCCCAAACTTGCAGCAACTTAGCAGAGGACAATTTTAATCATTCTCAAAATCTTCTTTCCAGAATTTGAACCTCAAGAGCAGACAGCTACGCATTCCGTTTGAAGGTTCAGGGAAGGATTGTTGTGGATCACCAGTAGCCTGTGGAGCTTGCAGCAGAGTCAGATAGTGAAGAGGCTGGGAAGGACAATGGGCCAATCCTGGACTCAGGGGAAGGCCCGGACGAGGGCTCTGCATCAGAGGCAGAGATGGGGCCAGGACCATCTGGGAGCGTAGCGCGAACTCCGGAGCCTCCAGAGGCTGACAGCAGAGAGGCAGAGAAACAGAAGGAGCCTGTTCTTAGTGCATGCATGCAAAGAGTGGCCCGAAGGCAAGAGCAGCTAAAGCAAAAAGGACGACTCGGGAGTAAAGCCAGGAGATAATTGGCCCCTCCCATAAGGCTTAAAAGAGCAGCAAAGGCTCTTGGGCTCTTTGTAGGAGAGCAACGTTGCTACATTTGTTTCTTGTCAGCATCACTTGTTTCTGAACTTCGTGGGGCTTTGCCAAGAAAAGCCTTTGGCAGGGTGCCAAAGAAGACAAAGGTTTGTGATACGGCCGAAGGACTTTTTCTGAAGGACTTGTTTTGGAATTAATTTGGACTAAGCTGGGAATGAAGTAATTCCCATCTGTTATAATAAAATAGGTTTGTTTAAGACTAACTGTGTTTTTTATGCCTAAGTGAGCCTAGGTCACAACAAGGATTTTGAAAGTTTGGCCAACCGAAATGGCCATTTATATTCCTTTGCATCCTTTTAGAGAGCCGTTGAGGCTACTGTGTCCTCAAGGAATAGAAATCCAGTTAGAGCTGAAGAAGCTTCTTGGATGAGAAGCGAAACATCTTCAAGGAAAAACCAGAAAGTCCAGTGGCCTCTTGAAAAAAAAAAACACCTTTGGGACAACCATGTAAACACAATGAGTAAACCCAGTTCTCCAATGACTAAAAGTTACCAGCAACAAAAAAGACAGCAAACTTAGATTATATGCTATTTTGATTTTTTATTATTTGCTTGAAGGAACCAACAAAAGACAACTCTTACCAAAGAAGGATTTCACAATGCATCCTGGATAAATTCATAATACTGAACTGCTTCTAGCCACATGCAAAGACTCTCCATAACAAGCCATCTGCTTCCAGGCCAGCTTCTTCGTCCATCTAGCCCACACTGTTGATGCAACCAGTAGTAGCTCTCCAACACTCCGGCAGGAGTTTTCCACATCATAGTATAACTTGGTTCTTTTTTTTAGTGGAAGTTCCTGGGAATTAGATCTGCAACCTTTGCGCACCAAACATCCAGTCTGGCACTGAAATATGGGCTCTGTTTTTGTCTAGCTTTCCAGTCTATTAGCCATCAATCCAGATAGCAATCTTCTCAATGCATCTGCTCTCCAATTAGCAACAGCAGAAATCCATCAGTACCGAGAATCGGGTAAAACATCTAAGAGAAATCTGTTCTCTTAGTTGAGAAATTAAAACAGCCTTCTCTATCTGTAAAAATGGAGACACCTCCCCCCCCCCGTTCGATCATGGGATGGAACCCACCAAAATTAATCTCATAGCTCATTAAACCTAGTTATGTTGATCAGGGCTTCTTGGCTGGCTAGCAAGTTACCATAGACCGTGATCTAAAGAGTGGCATAGATGTATAAATGACTCGGTGAAGGAATGACATTTCCAAAGTCAGGGATGAAATAAAGGGGCAGTTCAGGCATTAGCTCTTCTCTTGATGTCATCAAATATTCAAGCTGCCACCAAAAAATGTTGATGGACACAATATTAGGTCCTACAAACATTGGATCTGCAAGGCCTCCATTGCAGAGGCAGCCATGAAGAATTAGAAGAGAGATACCCAAGAGGTAGGAATGGATGAGCACTGATGGAATTCAGGATTTGGGAGGCGAGGGGGTAGATGCAGGGACATCGGCGCAAAAGTCTGGATCTGATGACGCTCACAAGGTCCATCTCAGAACTGACCACTCCTTACATGGAGAAGGATGACCTGGCACCCTTCAAGAATGCTTTGGAGTCCAACATGCAAGGTGTGGCTGTATTGGCAACTACGAAGCATAAGATACAACCATTCTTGGATCTGCAGACCACCAATGAACGGTTTCCAACCTCAGGTGCTTCCTGCCTGCTCCGTGCAACAAGAGCTTGTGGACCACAAATGGTCCCACCCAACCTGGGATTTTTATGCACACCTCCAACCCGTGGCTTTTGAGCCCTTCCGTGCAAGTCACTGCTCTGCGGCCAGGCAGCTGGAGGGCTGAGTAGAGACCGGGTAGAGCAAGGACATGTGTTCTGCCCCCTGGATGGGCAGCTTGTGGCTGGCGTAGTGGTGGATAACTTCTGGGATGTTGTTGAAGGGAGGGCTGTGCTGGCCCAGGACAAACTTATTGTCTTCTGTCTGCAAGAGTTTCATGTGAAGGAACCCTTGGCTGCTCCTAGGGAGAGAGAAAGGAGAGGAACACAACACATATCTGCAATCAGGGTGCCAGCCAGGAGTGGGCTTCAAAAATTTTAGCAAAGGGTTCTCTGCCCGGTTACTGGATGGGCGTGGCCATAGTGGGCATGGCCTAGTCAGCCTCCTGCACCATGGTTCGGGGGGGCATTTTTGCCCTCCCCAGGCTCCAGAGGCTTTCCCCAAGCCTCCGGCAGGGAGAAAACAGCCTCCCCATGCTCCGGAGGCCCTCTGAGGCTGGAAATGGGCCCATATCTGGCCTTCCCGAACTTCCAGTTGGCCCATTTTTCACCCTCCCCGAGCCTCCGTGCGTGCCTTGCACTTACCTGCATCCAAAATGGGCCGCGTGGCCGCGTGAGGGCTCCTGGGAGGGGAAGGGCTGGGTGGGCGGGGCCAGCCAGGAGTGGGATATGGGGGTTTAGCTAGAGGTTCTCCCAAACCCCTGCGAACTCGTATTATACTCACTTGAGGGAGAGGGAAAAGGCATCGTGGCTACTTTCACTGTTCCGAACCAGGTAACTGGCTTCCCGGCAAAGTCGGAGAAGGCTCTCAGCATCCACCCGACTCAAGGTCCCATGATACCACCTACAAAAAAGAGATTCCATTTTTTTTTCCTTTTTTAAAAAAATATTCAAAAAGTTAAACTACAATTTTTTTCCCTGTCATTTAATGACCCCGTAATCCCTTGCAGGGTGGAGTCGGGGCAACTGAAAGGAGCTGAGTGTTTACTGGCCAAATGCCCTTCCTGTCGCCAATGCTGAGTTTTGTTCAGCAGATAAATTCTCATTGTGCCCAGAGAGAGAAATATCTGCCTCTACTTAGGATCGAACTCACAGCCTCCTGATTGTGAGGCGAGAGCTCCACCTTTAGGCCGCTGCACCGCTCCTCCCCAGAGATACTTATGACCTATTTTTTGAAGTTCCAAAAGCTTCAAATCCCCACTCCCACACACACACACACACAACTCCTGCAGTCAAATGAATTTGGACCAGGGGTGAAATGCTCCCAGTTCGGACCAGACCATCCCGATCCGGTAGCGATGGCGGCGGATGGTTCGGAGAACCGGTAGCAAAAATCCCTGCCTCCCCCCCCCCCACATGCCAGTGAGCCGCGTGATCATATTTTTTTTACTTTTAAAAGCATTTTTTCTACAACCTCTTCGGCCGAAGAAATGCTTTTAAAAGTAAAAAAAAAAAAAAAGCCTCTGATGATCGTGGGGCTCAGCTGGGATTGTCAGAGGCTTTTAAAAGCATTTTTTCTGCAACCTCTTTGGCTGAAGAGGTTGTAGAAAAAATGCTTTTAAAAGCCTCTGACAACCCCAGCTGAGTTGCCTGATCATCAGAGGCTTTTAAAAGCATTTTTTTCTTGCAACCTCTTTTTAAAAGTTAAAGAAAAATTGGCCATGCCCACCCAGTCACTTTCCCACCACCACCACGCCACGCCCATAGAACCGGTAGTAATAAATTTTACATTTCACCACTGATTTGGACCCTTGTCAACTATCTTGCATTTTTGTGGCTAAGAGTTAACATACAAATCCCTAAACATAAAAGAATTACAAGCACAAAAAAAAAAAAAAAAAACCAAACAAAATGGACAAAACGTTTAAAAAATGCCTCTTAAAAAGAACAGAAAAGAAATATGCAAAGAAGGGATTCCTCTGTCAGGTTTCGATGTCATCTCAAATAAATTGCACTCCCAAACAATTAATCTTTGCTGAAATATTCCATTTATTGAGTACGACAGATCTGGCCCCGACTTCGTCGTAGCCGATACTAACCCTCTGACCCCCATACCCTTCCCTTTCCGTTCCCCAATTCTCATCTTCTCATTGGCCATCTTCCAAGTCAGTCTCCCCGGCTTCTGACCTCACCCCACAGGAATGTTCCCCCCTCCCATCCCATCTCCTAGGGGATATTATCTACAGAGAAATAAGTAGGCGAAAAGTCAAGCCTCGTCTTTTTATGGCAGCATCAGAATGCTGACATCCTCTACATAAGGTCAGGGTCTCCCTGGGAGTGAGGGGGCTGGTCTCTAAATCAGCCTACTTACGCTTGGCTCTCCAGTGGCAGTGCAGGATTGACATATTCGCCAAAAGCTGCCCCATCCTCTGGGCTCAACCAGCAGGGGGTGCTCTTTCCCTCTATGGACACGGGCACGTGGTTTCTCACCGTGGCTGCACCTTGGAGCAGAAGCACATAATGGAATGTGAAAGATGGAGCGGGAGCGGTGGGACGCGGCTGCAGGACAAGAGTGAAAGGCAGGATCAGGCCCCGGGGGATTATGGGAAGGGGTGAATGAGATGGAGATGAAAAATATCGCCAATGTGCTGAGGATTTGGCAAAGACAGGGATACCTGTGGTAGGAGCAAGAGGATCAGAGATGGGTTTCAGCAGGTTCTGACCAGTTCTGGAGAACCTGTAGCGGAAATTTTGAGTAGTTCGGAGAACCGGTAGTAAAAATTCTGACTGGCCCCACTCCCATCTATTCTCGGCCTCCCGAGTCCCAGCTGATCGAGAGGAAATGCAGATTTTGCAGTAACATTCCCCTGCCAAGCCACGCCCACCAAGCCATGCCATGCCACGCCCACCAAGCCACACCCACAGAACCGGTAGTAAAAAAATTTGAAACCCATCACTGAAGAGGATCTTTACAATTGAGGCTCCACCCCTTGTTGACACATTATACATTGTGATAGGTGAGGAGGTAGATTCCCCCGGAGTTGCATTTCAAAGGAGCAAGAGGCAACTCAGCCTAGATATTTTGTATGAGAGAAAGAGGGTGAAGACAGTGTCTCCTCAATTGTTCCCAGAGTATAGCGTAGATGCAGATAGGAGAGTTTTCAGTCTGGGAAGATTCTGTCTATAGGTGCGGAACAATAAATAACTCAGCCGGGTAAGAATTGTCATGTGTCATTCCTGGTTTTGGGCCCGAGATATGGTGGTGACTGAGGTATTCTGGGACTTGAAGTCCACACACAGTAGCTGATGAATTCTGGGAGTGGAAGTCCACAAATGACGTGATAGAAGGCAGTGAGAAGGTGGATTCCCAGGAGGGAAAGGGTGCAATCCAGAGGAGGAAGAGGCAACTGAGCCCTGATATCATGTGTGAGAGAAAGAGGGTGAAGACAGCTCCTTCTCAATAGGTGCCAGATTATATTATAGAGGCAGATAGGAGAGTCTTCAGTCTGGCAAGATTCAGTCTATAGGCTTGGAACAATAAAACACTCAGCTTGCAAGATTCACCGTGTGTCACTCCTGGTTTTGGGCCTGACACTCGCATGTGAAAAAAGGGTGTGTGCACTGGTGAAATCCAATTTTTTTTACTACCGGTTCTGTGGGTGTGGCTTGATGGGCGTGGCAGGGGAAGGATACTGCAAAATCTCCATTCCCTCCTTACTCTGGGGCCAGCCAGAGGTGGCATTTGCCCGTTCTCCGAACTCCTCTCAAATGTCTGCTACCGACTCTCCAGAACCTGTCAGAACCTGCTGTATTTCACCCATGGGGGTTGTCAGGTTTCGAGGTCGTCTCAAATAAATTGCATTTCAAACAAAGTCTTTGATGAAAAACTCCCATTTATTAAGCACGACATTCTAACTCCGACTCCATCGTAGCCAACACTGACTTCCTGACCCAAAACCCTCCCTTTCCTTTCCCACTCCTCTGCACTCATTGGCCATCTTCCAAGTCACTCTACCCCTAACCTACTGCTCCAGCTCAAAGGAATTTCCCCCTTCCCATCCCATCTCCTAGGGGATATTATCTCCAGGGAAATAAGTTGGTGAAAAGTCAAACGTCCCTTTCCAGACGCCTCTGCTTCTCCTTCTTATGTCAGCACTAAAGTAAATGCAGCTTGAAGTGCTGACATCGGGTGTGTGTGAAGCTTTGAATAAGTGGTTGCAACCAGCTTGACTTCCGCCCCCCCCCCCCCGGTCTCCTACAAAAAGACCCCTTTGGTCACAGGACGAAGCCCCAATTCTGTTGTTAAGCAGCCATTCATTAAGCGAGGACTACCTATAGCTGACAGTGCAGTTGCCATTTTGCAAAAAGCTATGTGCTTGGTTATACTATTTTAAGGGCTGTAACACACCCACACCAACTGTAGCTTACTCACTATTGATTTCCAGAGGACAGGACAAAGCAGAAGAGTCCGGAGTGCTGGTACTAGCATTCTGGAGGCCCGGGGGAGCATCTCTGGAGCAGGTGCTTTGGAGAAGGAGGTGTTTCTCGGCTTCCACGTGGTTAGTTGAACCATCAAGCTGTCCAACCGGAGGAGGCCACGGCAAGTCTTTGATCCCTTCAATCTCCACTGGGTAAAGCATCCCAAGAGAAAAATTTCAGGAGGAAGGGGTGGCTCTGAAGATGTTCAGAGAGCAGGAGGAGACCACCGGGGGTAGGTAGCCTTGTGGTGACCACGGGTGGGAGAAGACCATCAGAGTCCAATTCTCAGGACCTCTCCCACTCAGACCAAAGGAAAGAAAGGTGGAGGGAATCCTACAGCTGTGGATTCTGGAGGCTACAGGCAATGTATCTTGCAATGGGGTGATGGGGTGGGGAGGGAAGGGAAGGAGAGAATGAACAAATTGGTGGAAGGGTTTTAGCCTCCATTTTATTCCTTTTCTGATCTACACCTAACCAGTGATGCTTCATGAGAGGGAGGGAGGAAGGTGAGAAAGGAGGAGGAGGAGGAGGAAGGAGGAGGGGAAAGGAGGAGGAAGAAGGAGGAAAAGGAGGAAGAGGAAGAGGAGAGGAGGAAGAGGAAGAAGAGGAGGAGGAAGAGGTGGAGGAGGAGGAGGGAGGAGGAGAAGAAGGAGGGGAAGGAGGAGAAAGAGGAGGAGGAAGGAGGGGGAGGGGGGGAGAGGAGGAGGAGAGGAGGAGAGGAGGAGGAGGAGGAGGAGGAGGAGGAGGAGAAAGAGGAGGAGAAGGAGGGGAAGGAGGAGGAAGAGGAGGAGAGGAGGAGGAGGAGAAGAGAGAGGAGGAGGAGGAGGAGGAGGAGAAAGAGGAGGAGAGAAGGAGGGGAAGGAGGAGGAAGAGGAGGAGGAGGAAGGAGGGGGGGAGAAGGAAGAGGAGGAGGAGAGGAGGAGGAGGAGGAGGAGGAGGGAGGAGGAGGAGGAGGGATTTGACATCTGTACTTCAACTGGTCCCTATGGTACTAACTAAGGGTGGAGCGTCTTATCTTGGCTTACCAGCAAAGACTCTGGAGATCCGTTCCTTCTTCCACTCCCACGGCTGGTCATACTCCTCTGGAGGCCTCTCATCATCTTCTGGCAACCACGAGTAGCGGCAGGAGACAGCCGGCTGAGAAGAAGCCTGGTCCTCTGGGCCGGATTCATTCTCAGGGGCTTCGTAGGGAGTGTCGTACAAGTGCAGAGGTTTCTGAGTGGCAAGTTCTTCCTGGGCTCCATCCTTCTGAACCTCTAGGTTGCAAAGAGGGAAGAGAGTCCGCTTGAAGACTTCCCACGCCTGGTTATGCAATGCATCACGACACCAACTCTCCCCTCCAAATAGAACTTCTCCTAGCATCTTGGAAGGACATTCTGCGGTGGAGGAGGAGGAGGAGGAGAAGGAGGAGCAAGAGGAGCAGGAGGAAGTAAAGGAGAGAAAGGAGATTGAGGAGGAGAGGGGAGGAGGAAGAGGAGGAGGAGGAAGAAGAAGAGGAAGAGGAGAAGGAGAAGGAGAGAAAGGAAGGAAGGAGGAGAGGGGAGGAGGAGGAGGAAGAGAAGCAAGAGGAGAAGGAGAAGGAGAGAAAGGAGGATGAGGAGGAGAGGGGAGGAAGAGGAGCAAGAGGAGAAGGAGAAGGAGAGAAAGGAGGAAGGGGAGGAGAAGGAGGACTGTGTCTCTCTGAGCTTGATAGTTTTCTTACAGACTTTTCATTACTCAACTAGATAACAGCCTCTGTGCACTGATGGTATTATCTACTTGGGTCATGAAACGTCTGCAAGAAAACAACCAAGCTCAGAAAGCAGGAAGGACCCCACAGTCCTCCTCGTCCACTCCGAAAAGCCCCACTCCCTTCTAGCCCTGATGAAGTTACCTAGTAGGGTCATGAAACGTCTGCAAGAAAGCAACCAAGCTCAGAGAGCAACAAGAACCCCACAGTTCAACCCTGAGCGACCAACATTCTCTTCCATCAATTAACACCCCCCCCCACACACACACACACACACACACACACATACCAGCCAGGAGCTTCTGAGCTTCGAAGGGTTCCATGTAGCCTTCATCGTTGTCCCTTTGCTGCTCCTGCATCTGACTGTGAGTTTCTGGCCTTGTGTCGAAGGGCTCTGAATAGTCTTGCAGAACGGTCATCTACAAAAGGAAAGGACCGTCGGATTCAGCCGTAGCAGGAGAAGACCATCTTTGGCCTGGGGACCAGGAAGAAGGACCGTCCAAGCCAAGATGCATCCATGTCTTTAACTCTGAAGATCCCATTCGACGTATTTTGTCCTAGCCATGCTGGAGGATTTTGAGATCTATTTATTTATTTATTATTTGTTCAACTCGTATGCCGCCTTTCTCCGAAGACTCAAGGCAGCTTACAATGCATTTAAAAAACCATTTATAAAAACATTAAAAATTAAAACATTAAAAACAATTAAAACCCATTCACACCATTCATGGCCGGATCTCGCCAGATCGCAACGGCGAGATCAACGGCCCCAGGCCTGCCGGAAGAGCCAGATCTTCACCGCTTTTCGGAAGGCCAATAGGGTGGGGATGGTCCGGATCTCAGGAGGTAACTGGTTCCAGAGAGCCGGGGCAGCCACAGAGAAGGCCCTTCCCCGCGGGCCCGCCAGCCGGCATTGTTTGCTGTTTGCTGTTGCGATCTGACGAGATCCGGCCATGAATGGTGTGAATGGGTTTTTTAAATGTATTTAATGTTTTTAATTTTTAAGTCTTTTTATAGTGATTTTTTTGAGTGTATTGTGAGCCGCCCTGGGTCTTCGGAGAGGGGCGGCATATAAATTGAATGAATGAATGAATGAATGAATGAATGAATGAATAAATAAATAAATAAATAAATAAAATAAATAAATAAATAGAATGAATGAATGAATGAATGAATGAATGAATGAATGAATGAATGAATGAATAAAATAAATAAATAAATATACATCCAAACCAACACACACCTACACACATCATCCCTTGACCGCCGCTACCCTCCTTTCTCCCCCAACACGGCGGTGGGGAAGGGGGGCATCAAAGACAGAGTGTGCCCTCCTCCCAGAGGCTTCCCACAGGACCAACTCCGCAGACCCTTCGCCTTTAGCAGTGGCCCATGGAGGCTGGAATCCCAAACAGCTCAGCTTGGGCGCAGCCCAGCCAAAGCAACCAACCCACACCCCACCCCCCACTCCTCTTCTCCCAGCCCTGGAAGGCGAAGGGGGGGTCTTTCCCTCGCCCCCCCACCCACCCCCCCACCCACCCCCGGCGGGGGAGACAAGCCCCTTCCCTTCCTTTGCAGGGGGAAGCCCACGGCGGGGATGCTCAGCCTTATCCAAGCCCCCCCCCCCATCCCCACCGCCTTCCTTCCCACCGCAGGACCTTGTTCTCCTTCTGGTCCGGCGATTCCCCCATCCCGAGGGCGGGGGGCGCCCCCCGCGCCCCCCTCTCTGCTTCCACCCGGATGAGCCTCCGGCGAGGGGATCGGCAGCGTCGGGGGGCGGCCGGAGGGGTGGCGGAGCCCCCGCCGTAAGGATCCTCGAAGTCGCGCTCGCGTTGCAGGCGGTAGGCGGCCAGCAGGTCGGGCTGTTCGGGACCCGCCGCGTAATCCGGCTGCGGGGGCTCCGGCTTGGCGCTGCGGAAGAGGAGGCGGTCGCGGAGCCAGCGAGCCATGATGCGGAGACCCCCACCCACCCAGCGGACCTCCAAGCCGCGGGCCCGGGGGCTTAGCCGGCCGTCCCCACCGCCACCATCATCCCCGATCCTCTGCAGACCCCCGGCTCGCCTTCCCCCGCGGATGCCCGCCGGCCCGGAGCCCCTCGCCCACCCACCCTCTCGCTCGCTCGCTCGGTCTTGCCCGGCCCGGATGGTCTCTCTCCCCCCACTCCCCCCACCCCCAGGCGCCCAACGCCGTCTTTAAACCCGCATCCTCCGCCTTTTACCTTCCAGATGCTACGGGACTACAAAGCCCGGCAGCCTCGGGCGGGCGGGCCTTTGGTGAGGGATGATGGGAGCTGTAGTTCGCAACTTCGGGGGAGTCTTCCTTTCCTCCCCCCTCCCATCCATCCCCACCTCGCGCTCACAGCCTCTGCTCAGAGAAGAAAGCGGTGCCCCCGCCAGATGTTGCAGGCGTGCAGGAGTTCCATGGGGCCCGGCCATTGGCAGTGGCCGATGGGGGTTTGGAGATCCCCCCAATAGGGGTCCGTCATGCTGGACTGGTTCGGTCTGAGCGACCCAGGAGAGGCGAGCCCCAATTCCCACTTATGACTGCATGACTGTAACTTTTTGCTTGTATCCTTAGGATTTATATTGATATTGTTTCCTGATTGTTTATTTGTTCCCTATGACTATCATGAAGTGTTGTACCTTATAATTCTTGATGAACGTATCTTTTCTTTTATGTACACTGAGAGCGAATGCACCAAGATAAATTCCTTGTGTGTCCAATCACACTTGGCCAATAAAAAATTCTATTCTATTCTATTCTATTCTATTCTAGTCTATTCTAGTCTATTCTATTCTATTCTATTCCATTCCATTCCATTCCATTCCTATTCCTATTCCTATTCTATTCTATTCTATTCTACTATTCCATTCCTATTCTATTCTATTCTATTCTATTCTATTCTATTCTATTCTATTCTATTCTACTATTCCATTCCTATTCCTATTCCTATTCTATTCTATTCCTATTCTATTCTATTCTATTCTATTTTATTCTATTCTATTCTATTCCTATTCCTATTCCTATTCCTATTCCTATTCTTCTATTCTATTCTATTCTATTCTATTCTATTCTATTCTATTCTATTCTATTCTTCCATTCCATTCCATTCCTATTTCCTATTCCTATTCCTATTCCTATTCCTATTCCTATTCCTATTCCTATTCCTATTCCTATTCTATTCTATTCTATTCTATTCTATTCTATTCCTATTCCTATTCCTATTCCTATTCTATTCTATTCTATTCTATTCTATTCTATTCTATTCTATTCTTCCATTCCATTCCATTCCTATTCCTATTCCTATTCCTATTCCTATTCTATTCTATTCTATTCTATTCTACTATTCCATTCCTATTCCTATTCCTATTCTATTCTATTCTATTCTATTCTATTCTATTCTATCTTCCATTCCATTCCATTCCTATTCCTATTCCTATTCCTATTCTATTCTATTCTATTCTATTCTATTCTATTCTATTCTATTCTTCCATTCCATTCCATTCCTATTCCTATTCCTATTCTATTCTATTCTATTCTATTCTATTCTATTCTATTCTTCCATTCCATTCCTATTCCTATTCCTATTCTATTCTATTCTATTCTATTCTATTCTATTCTTCCATTCCTATTCCTATTCCTATTCCTATTCCTATTCCTATTCCTATTCTATTCTATTCTATTCTATTCTATTCTATTCTTCCATCCCTATTCCTATTCCTATTCTATTCTATTCTATTCTATTCTATTCTATTCTATTCTATTCTATTCTATTTATTCTATTCTTCCATTCCTATTCCTATTCCTATTCCTATTCCTATTCCTATTATTCTATTCTATTCTATTCTATTCTATTCTCTTTCCTATTCCTATTCCTATTCTATTCTATTCTATTCTATTCTATTCTATTCTATTCTATTCTTCCATTCCATTCCATTCCATTCCTATTCCTATTCCTATTCCTATTCCTATTCTATTCTATTCTATTCTATTCTATTCTATTCTTCCATTCCATTCCTATTCCTATTCCTATTCCTATTCCTATTCTATTCTATTCTATTCTATTCTATTCTATTCCTATTCCTATTCCTATTCTATTCTATTCTATTCTATTCTATTCTATTCTATTCTATTCTATTCTATTCCTATTCCTATTCCTATTCCTATTCCTATTCTATTCATTGGCTTTAAATGAGTTAAATAATCTTAAAAACAGCAAAATGCACACCTCCAGGGCAAAATGCAGGCGAGGATATTGCGCGTTGCTTTCCAGCAAGCTTACAACGACACCTCCAGCAAACGCACGCAAAAACATACATTCAGAAGCAATTCACTCCGAATCTAGAACCGGTTTCCTGCAGGAACCCAAGCTCGTTTTTCGCCCCGACGCTGGGCTTCATTGGTGCATTGAAGTTTGCAAGAGCCCTTCTCTTTTCCTTTACTGTCGAATAATTTAAAAAGCACAGAGAAAGTCCCTTTGTTATTAAATGTTGTAAATCTGAATTTAGAAATAAATTTTAAAAAAAGGTACGCACCCTTGCCGTGACTCGGATTCGAACCGAGGTTGCTGCGGCCACAACGCAGAGTACTAACCACTATACGATCACGGCGAGCCACCCAGGCGCTGGGGAAACAGCTTGGCAACCACCTTCTTCATTTCTACGGTCCCTGACGTCATCGCTTCTTTGAATAGGGATTCATGCCTGTCTCGCACAGCGCCCCCTTTGGTGAGTTAGGCTGCAGGACAGAATGGGAGGAAATAAACTGAATTTTTGGAACAATAGATAATTTGCAGAGGCTGGCAGTGGCTTTTAAACGGTACTGCAGAATCCCAGAGCACCACTTAGGGATGCTTTGTATCTTTCCAACCCTATGATGATTATTTTCCTTTGCATCTTTAAGAATTTTGCATGCTTGGCTTTGCATTTGGCTGCCACAAAGAAGAGGAGGTGTCAACCTATTCTCTAAAGAACCTGAAGGCAAGACAAGAAGCAACGGATGGAAACTAATCAAGGAGAGAAGCAACCTAGATAATGGAAGGAGAAATTTCCTGACTGTGGGAACAATTAACCAGTGGAACTGCTTGCCTCCAGAAGTTATAGGTGCTCCATCATCGCTGGAGGCTTTTAAGAAGAGATTGAACAGCCCCTTGTCCAGAATGATATAGGGCAGAGGTCTTCCAACTTGGCAGCTTTAAGACTTGTGGACTTCAACTCCCAGAATTCTCCAGCCAGCTAGGATATGAATTCTGGGAGTTGAAGCTATGCTGGCTGGAGAATTCTGGGAGTTGAAGTCCACAAGTCTTAAAGCTGCCAAGTTGGGGACCTCTGTTATTCTGTTATTTCCAGCACACTGCTAAATTTCAAGGCACTTTGCTCAGGATGGAAATACGCATTCCACCCTGTATTGTGTACACATTCTCTTCATTGTCACTTATTATATCTGTGACAGCTTTGGAAGAAACCACAGTCGCAGATTAGGTCCCATCACGAAAAATCTAGTTGTACTTCTGTAAACACACAAAAGTTTACTTTCTGCAGCTTTCCCCTTAGTGGGTTGTAGTGCTGCAAATTGCTTTTGCATCTCTTATCTGTCTAGGTCAGGGCTTCTCAACTGATGTAAGATGAGTTACGTTCTTTACTTTCTTTACTTATTATCACATTTCTACGACGTCCATCTCATCTGCGTGGCTTTGATAATATATCACAGAGGAAGTTTATAAAGTTTTCAAAATGAGGTCTTGGTGGATTTCGCTCACTTGCTGGACCCAAGGTTACAAAACACAGTGTTAAGGATATTCTTCGCTCATAAACGATGTTATGGGTTATTGAGCAGATTACCCCTTGAGTATGCACATGAAAGCGGCTGAGAGTGAATAACCACAGTTAATATACCGACACACTGAGTTGTGGTAGTCTTTTACTTTTTAGAAAAAAGTAAAGCAAAGTCCAATAACAATCCAAGTCATACACAGATAAGGCGATAGTTAAAATATCAATTCAGGGATATTCCAAGTACAAAGTCTTCTTACCAGTTGTTGTCATTACACAATAAAACAGTTCTTCTTGAGTTTCAAACAGGAACAAGTTCAGTATTAAAACATTCAATAAATAGTAGAAAGCAACAAGTAGCAATGATCAAGCAGTGATCATACAGAGAGAACAGGTAGAGAGTAATAGCAAATAAGCAGATAAAATGGTGTAGTGTCCACAAGCCATGATTCAGGCTTCCCCTTAAATACATTGGCTACAGAGCTTAGCCAATCAGGATATAGGATGATACAATACAGTCTTAAAGCAATATAATACCTTTTGACAAACATGTATTGATAGTTTATATATTGCCTGACCAACTAGTTAGACAATAACCATTTCCTAACACACAGTGGCTTGTGTTCGCATAATACTGATATAGGTAGTTCTTGACTTACATCCATTCATTTAGTGACCGTTGGAAATTACAACGGCACTGAAAAAAGTGACTTATGACCATTTTTCACACTTATGACCGTTTTTCACACTTACGACCATTGCAGTATCCCCATGATCACGTGATCAAAATTCAGATGCTTGGCAACTGATTCATATTTATGATGGTTGCAATGTCCCAGGGTGATGTGATCTCCTTTTGCGACCTTCTGACAAGCAAAGTCAACGGGGAAACCAGAGTCACTGAACAACTATGTCACTAACTTAACAATTGCAGTGATTCACTTAACAGCCAAGGCAAGAAAAGTCATCAAATGGGACAAAGCTCACTTAACTGTCTTGTTTAACAAAAGATAGGTAAAGGTAAAGGTTCCCCTCACACATATGTGCTAGTCGTTCCCGACTCTAGGGGGCGATGCTCATCTCCATTCCAAAGCTGAAGAGCCAGCGCTGTCCGAAGATGTCTCGTGGTCATGTGGCCGGCATGACTCAATGCCAAAGGCGCACGGGACGCTGTTCCCTTCCCACCAAAGGTGGTCCCTATTTTTCTACTTGCATTTTTTTAACCTGCTTTCGAACTGCTAGGTTGGCAGATTGTTGGGGCTTAATTGTGGCCCTAAGTTGAGAACTACCTGTACTGACGTGAGATTGATTAAGAAACCTTTTTTATCTGGGTGGCATCCAAGCGTAAAGTCTATCAGACATTATGGCACCTAAAATTGATATGGGCAGTGGTGGGATTCAGCCAGTTCGCACTACTTCGGGAGAACTGGTTAACTTTCCGAGCAGTTTGGTGAACTGGTTGTTGGAAGACATCATTAGGGCAGAGAACCAGTTGTTAAATTATTTGAATCCCACCACTGAATATGGGGTGTGTTTAAGTGAGTCCTCTGGAGCTGCCGTTCCCCCCCCCACCCCTTTTAATGGAATTGCTGGGCTGTACTTCTGAGATCTGGTTGTTATCTCCACTGTCCAAAGTTGATAGTTACGCAGTTGGCACCTACAACATGCAAATAACATTCTGCAAGGAAGCTTTGTTGCATTGCGTTCTCCTTATTATTCTTATTACAATTATTGAGAAGTGTAAAGGTCATTCTTCGGCTTCTGATTACATGTTCTTATCATTTTATCGAATGCCCTTTGATGCTGGCTATTTTTGCAAGCCGATGTGCAATTTTTGTTTATTCATCGGATTTGGCCTTCGTTTGTCATGCCACAGACTCCCAGAATACATCTTATAAATATTAGGTACAAATACTACGGTAATAAAATTATGACTCATCATCATATGTAACCCTCTCTACATGGGGGTCCCCTTGAAGAGCACCCGGAGGCTCCAGCTGGTCCAGAATGTGGCCGCTTGGGTGATTATGGGGGCGACTTGATGCTCCCATGTAACACCGTTCCTGCGTGAGTTGCACTGGCTCCCGGTGGTCTTCCGGGTGCGATTCAAGGTGTTGGTTGCCACCTTTAAAGCGCTCCATGGCATAGGACCTGGGTACTTACGAGACCGCCTTCTGCCTCCGATAGCCTCCCATCAACCAGTACGCTCCCACAGAGAGGGTCTCCTCAGGGTGCCGTCGGTTAGACAGTGTTGACTGGCGACTCCCAGGGGGAGAGCCTTCTCTGTGGGGGCACCTGCCCTCTGGAACGAGCTGCCCCCGGAGATTCGTCAGATTCCTGACCTTCGTACCTTTCGCCGCGCCCTTAAAACACTATTATTCCATCAAGCAGGGTTGGCCTAAAATATTATTTTAATGGGTTATTTTATTTTAGATTGTTGGGCAAATTATTTAATAATTTTACATTGTTTTTTAACTTTTATATTGTTGGTTTTTATCTTGGCTGTACACCGCCCTGAGTCCTTCGGGAGAAGGGCGGTATAAAAATTTTAATAAATAAATAAATAAATAAATAAATAAATAAATAAATAAATAAATAAATGTAAGAACTGGCACAGTTAAAGGAAGAACTGAACAAGCTTCTTGGATGAGGAATGAAACATTTTTAAGGGTTACAAGAAAGTCCAGTTGCCTTTTTGTATGTCCTTCGGGACATACAGCTGGGAGAAATTTCAAGATCATCCAATTGTAGATGCTTCAACACTGGAGGTTTTAAAGAAAAGATTGGGCAGTCGTTGGTCTGAAATGATATAGGATCTTCGGTTTGAGCATGGGGTTGGACTAGAAGACCTCCAAGGTCCTTTCCAACTCTGTTATTCTGTTCTCTTCTGTTTGACATTTTTTCTTTGTTTCCTTAATGGCTTGGTTTCTTCTTATCTATTTCCCTTTCTTATCTGTCTCCTGAAAGGATCTTGTAGAGTAGATTCCTGCCTTTTCTCCTCCCTGCTTACTGTACGTATCTGCTTCGTCTTGAGGTATGGCAATTTCAACCCAAAGTTTGGGAATGAATTGTCCATTGCTGAAGATCCATCTTGAGTTTTCCTGGGCTTTATTCCATCCAGGCAAATTTATGTGGCTTCCGATTGTTTTCAAGCTATCCGAGAGTTGCGTTGTTTAATGTGTAACTATCACCTGAACAACTCCAAGGTTGTTGTTGAAACATCAGCATGTTTTACAGTACAAGGGGGCACGCACCTATCCTGCTGAGCACATGGTCTAAAATTATGGGATGTTGGTGGTTTGCAGAGTTTTCAGTTTTTTAAAGGAGATCCTAACATTGCAAGGACTACTGGAATTCCAGTTTATTGGAATTTATTGGAACCTGCCCAAGTCTACTTCTATTCCTTCTTTTTTACCAAATAAAATCAAGGCAGGGTTATTTTCCTTTTCTTTTTTCATGCTTTCCATTTTTCCAATGCTGACTGGGCTTTTCTTCTCCTTTAATTGCTCCTGCGTACTGAGGTGATCTTGGAAACAGAAGATCAAGATGATTTTTGCATATCTCTACAAGGGTTACACCGAAGGCTCTGCCTAAAACATGACTTGAAGAAGGTAGAGAGAGCGAAAAGGTTGGCATCCATTCTAGCTCTTCTCTGCTCTTGACCCTAACTTACTTACTTACTTACTTACTTACTTACTTACTTACTTACTTATTTATTTATTTATTTATTTATTTATTTATTTATTTATTTATTTATTTATTGGTTCGATTTATATGCCGCCCTTCTCCGGAGACTCAGGGCGGCTTACAATGCGTTAAGCAATAGCCTTCATACTTTTGTATATACCTGCTTAGTAGGGCTTTCGGGGGCCCCTAAGCGGTGTTCTTTTTTATACAAAGCCAGCTTATTGCCCCCACAATCGGGTTCTCATTTTACCTACCTCAGAAGGATGGAAGGCTGAGTCAACCTTGAGCCTGGTGAGATTTGAACTCACAGTAATTGCAGGCAGCTGGCAGCTACGTGCTACTTTAACAGCACTTTAGTCCGCTGCTCCACCAAGGCTCCCTTGGTGGTGCGATACTTGAATGTATCGCTGGCATTTAGCCCTAGATAGCCTTTTCTGCTACAACCTGTTCTGTATTTAAGGAGTAGGGTCCCTTTTCTGTCTAAAACCAGGTGGGTTTCATATCTGAAGGACATCAAGAGGACCTCAGCAGGACTAACAAGTCTCCAGCAAGCCCTCCTGGAGATTCTGTCTGCAATCTACTATGTCCTTGCCACCCCATTCCTTGTAGTTGTAGGAGAACGGATCTTGACTTTGGCTGGATGGGGATTTTTCTTCTCAGTTCCGTGTGTGTGTGTGTGTGTGTGTGTGTGTGTGTGTGTGTGTGCATCCGTGTGTCTGTGTGTCTGTGTGTCTGTGTGTAATTAAGTTCTTCCTGGAAATAGGTAGATTGAAATAAATGGGATGTTGAGACATAATAAAACTCCCAGGTGGGTGAGAATGGGGAGGAGGAGGACTTTTACGGGCTGAAAGGACTTTGGACTGTGAAGTTAATTGATTGCTGATTTATGATCCTTAAATTACTGACTTAAGGATAAGTAGTAACAAAAGGATTTCTTCTTGGTTCTGAGGGTAAGCTGGGAAGAGACTGATTTTGTTGGGAGTTATTTACCATGGATATGGGTAGGATCGCTGTCAACATTGGGAAGAGAATTAGACCCATTAAAGGGGGATTAAGGAACAACTGGTTCCCCTAGACGAAGGAGCCACATAGCAAAAACTGTGGGATCTGGCGTGGGATCTCCTGCAGTTGTGGGAGGAAATACAGTGGAAAGAATCACGGTGTGTCTTGTTGCTTGAGAAGGAAAGCTGCACATTGTGATAGCAAAGGTGCAACCAATTCATCATCCGGTATGCTCAACTGAACTGAAATAGGTAGTGTCAGGTAATTGATTAACTCGTCAGGTTTGTAGCCCCTACAGATCTTTGTGGCCCATGGACGGAGGCACTCTACCTGGAACTGGGATTATAGGATTGAACAGCTGGAGGGAGGGAGGTTGGGAAGGATAGGGGTGTGACCATGGCTGTTTTGACAGCAAGAAGGTGCTCTGGGGTGCTACTTGCACAACAGACCGTGGGTCTTGTCTTCCAGAACACACCAAGGTGGAGGTAACAGCTTCAGAACCACAAGACGATGGGCGAAGTCAAGATTTCACTTAAAAACAGAGATATGGGCATGGCAAACCCAACATTTGAGCCTTCGGTAAGTTTTTCTTCTTCTCCTTAGCTTTGTCCTTCACACGTTCTTCAAAGATGGTAATAGTGTCTGTGGTTTTGGTAGGAATCAGAGACAAATGGAGTGGAGGAAGTCAAGATTCCACCTAAAAACGGAGATATGGGCATGGCAAACCCGACATTTGAGCCTTCGGTAAGTTTTTCTTCTTCTCCTTAGCTTTGTCCTTCACACGTTCTTCAAAGATGGTAATGGTGTCTGTGTTTTTGGTAGGAATCAGAAACAAATGGAGTGGAGGAAGTCAAGATTCCACCTAAAAACGGAGATAGTGTTGTAAGTTTTTCTTCCTCTCCTTAGCTTTGTGCTTTGCATGTTCCTTGGAGATAGTGAATGGGGTCTGTTTTTTGGCAGGAATCGGAGACAAATAAAAATGAAGCACCATCTCTTGAGTTTGGGGAAGAAAATCCTGTCCAGGACCGTCGCTTTGGGAGGTACTAAATATGGATGACCAAGGAAATTTGGTGATGTTGTTTCAGCTGGATAGTCAACAGTTGTTTAATACTATAAGATCCCCAGATGTTTCCCTTCTTAGAACAGCTGTTTCGTGTGAGCCCCTGTAGATTGGCAGCCCTAATCTGAGATTCCAGTTTGTCTTTTCATCCCAACTCTTGCAAGGAAGAATAGAATAGAATAGAATAGAATAGAATAGAATAGAATAGAATAGAATAGAATAGAATAGAATAGAATAGAATAGAATAGAATAGAATAGAATAGAATAGAATTCTTTATTGGCTAAGTGTGATTGGACACACAAGGAATTTGTCTTTGGTGCATATGCTCTCAGTGTACATAAAAAGACAAGATACATTCGTCAATTACCTCTCAGAAATGCCGCAGAAATACGATAGCTTCTTTGGATATTGTTTGTTATTATTACTATCGTTTGTATGCTGCTCCATTTCTATAAACTCTGAGCTGTTTACTGTATTAATGGAGTGAGATTTTAAAAAAGAAGAATTAAGTCATGGGATTAATCAAGCTGATGTGGTCCCATATGGAAAGAGCCTGATTTTATTCATCCTTGAGTGTCTTTGGGGAAAGCCATGTTTTAATGTTTGCAACTCCCAAAAGAACTGTTTTACTGCATATGACTACAACAACTGGTAAGAAGACTTTGTTCTTGGAATATCCCTGGATTGACAAATTAACTATCTTTATCTGTGTATGACCTGGATTGTTTATTGGACTTTGCTTTACTTTTTTCTGAAAGTAAAAGAATATCACGACTCAGTGTGTCTGTGTATTAACAGTGCTTATTCACAGTCACTCTCAGCCGTTTCTCATGTGCACACCCTTGCTACTCAAGGGTTACTCTGCGCATATTACTTAACAATATCCCTTCCAGATGTTCTTTAACGTTGATTTTCTTGATGTGCCTTTCAGCAGGTTCAAGAACGTGACTCAACCTTTCTCGAAAGCGAAGAGATTTTGCAAGGCTCATCGTGAATTACTCCACAAGGTCTTCTTAGGCATCTTATGTCTAGGTAGGTCTTTCATTCTCAGGTCAAAAATGGTGATCATATGACCCCGGGAACTGTTATAAATACATGTCAGGTGCCAAGTGCCTGAATTTTAATGACATGACCATGGAGATCCTATGATGGCTGTAAGTGCAAGGATTGCTTGTAAGTCACTTTTTTTTCCAGTGGTGTTGTTATTTTGAATGGGTCACTAAATAAATGTTCATAAATAGAGGAATACCTCCATTCCAGCTGGTGCTGGAACTTCTGCCCCAAGCCTTTAAGAATAGCACCGGTCTAAATGAGGTGTATGGACAAGCTGAACCTAATTTGCAATGGTTTCTGATGACTTTTGAGACCTTGGGCTGTTTGATGCTTTGATGTCTTGATGTTCAATGCCTTGAGCCTTGGTGGTGCATTGGTTAGAATGCAGTATTGCAGGCTAACTCTGCCCGCAGCCTGGCGTTCGATCCTGACTTGCTCAAGGTTGACTTAGCCTTCCATCCTTTTGAGGATTTATCTAGTAAACCAAGGTTTGAACGGACTTTGTGTGTGCTGCGTTCCTTGGGGTCCGTAGCTGGGGCAGAACAGTCGGTAAAATGAGGACCCAGATTGTTGGGGGCAAGAGGCTGACTCTGTAAACCACCCAGAGAGTTCTGTAAAGCACTGTGAAGTTGTATATAAGTCTAAGTGCTATTCCTTCCTTCCTTCCTTCCTTCCTTCCTTCCTTCCTTCCTTCCTTCCTTCCTTCCTTCCTCCCTCCCTCCCTCCCTCCCTCCCTTCTTTCCTTCCTTCCTTAAGTGCTGTTGCTATTCTCATTTTAGGCTACCTGGCCTACTTCATTGCTGCTTGTTACCTGGACTACCATCGCGCTTTGGCGCTGATCATTCTAACAAGCTTGGCTGTTGCTTTCCTGGCTTATAGCATAGTCAAAAACTGTTTGGGAGCCAAGATTATCCAGATGTTGAGTCCCTGCAGGAAATGCTGTCAGAAGGCCTGGCCGTGGCTGAAATGGTAAGGGGCTGACCAGCTGCACAAGTCAGTTTTATAGTCAGTTTTTTTTTCAAGAAGCCATGGTGAGCCAATCTTCACTTTGCTCCTTTAGATATTGGAGCATTTTAGAGAATTTTTAAAGCACTGAGCTGATGGTTGGATTGAGTGCAGTGGTGGGATTCAAATTTTTTTATTACCGGTTCTGTGGGTGTGGCTTGGTGGGCATGGCATGGCTTGGTGGGCGTGGCTTGATGGGCATGGCAGGGGCAGGATACTGCAAAATCTCCATTCCCTCCCCACTCCAGGGGAAAGTTACTGCAAAAAACCCATTTCCTCCCAATCAGCTGGGACTTGGGAGGCAGAGAATAGATGGGGGCGGGGCCAATCAGAGGTGGTATTTACCGGTTCTCCGAACTACTCAAAATTTCCGCTACTGGTTCTCCAGAATCCCTGATTGGGTGACCCTACAGGTGAGTTTGCATCCTGTGATTCTATGATCATAGAATAAATGCAATGCAGTGCAATGCAATGCACCACACGGTCACCGCGTTTTTGTATTTACCAGATGAGCTCTTATTTTTGAACTTTCAGACTTACCGTAGCTTGCCAAGTTCTTATCTCTAAGCTAACTGCGCATGTCCACATTCTTTCACTTTCTTCTAACTTTCTTTGTTCTCTGGCTAAGAGAGGTCTGGTAGGAACGCTGCCAAGATGTAACTAATTAGATTAGTAAGATGTTTTATTTTCTTTATAACAAATAAATGAGTTTTTCTTAAAAAATATATCTTCGGGTTTATTTTCTTAACGTATACTTCAAGGAAATAGTCACGATCCATTCTCTAAATCAAGGTGCAATTGCCCAAAAGCAGAATGGGATTAATTGCCACCCTGACAAACACAGCACAACACAACACAATGAAAGAAATAATATAAGTGAGGGAAAATAAACATAATATCGTTGATTAAAAAAAGACTTAAAAATTGGATTCTGCCCTAGGATCCTCAGCCAGGCAAATAAAATATAAATATACTAGCACAGAATATAAATATCAATATTCTGGAAAGTAAGATGGGATAAATTTAAGTCTTGCGATGAGGACTTTTCTTATATCTCAACCTATTATCTTTTGTTTCCCCCCCCCTCTTCCCCCCCCGGCTTATCAAGAATGTATATTTAATAAATGGCTTATCGTGGATGGATGTTTAATCTAATATATATTATTCTGCTTCCCCTGTAATTTTCTAGGGTTTTGTGTGCCATTCTTCTAATTGCTTTGATCACCTGGCTGGTTCTGGACATGTCCCAGAGGAAAGAGCAGCTGGTCTCATTGGGTGGCTTCTGTGTGCTCGTCTTCTTGTTATTTCTCTTCTCCAAGCATCACATGGCTGTAAGCACCATCATCATCATCATCATTATTATTTTTTTTTAGTTTGGTACCTTAAACCTAACCAAGATTCAATATAACAGGCTTCGGCTTTGGCTACTGCTTCTTTCTTCACTCTAGCTCCAGTCAGGGGTGGGGCCTGCTGGGGGTTCGCGGGGGTTCGGGAGAACCTCTAGCTAAGATTTTGAGCAGTTTGGAGAATCCCCAAAACCCACTCCTGGCTGGCCCCGCCCACCCCGCCCCTCCCAGGAGTCCCCACGCGGCCCGTTTTGGATGCAGGTAAGTGTAGGGGACAGGCGGAGGCTGGGGAGAGTGAAAAACAGGCCTACCGGAAGTTTGGGAAGGCCGGAAACAGGCCTCCAGAGCCTGGGGAGGCCATTTTCGCCCTCCCGGAGACTCAAGGAAAACCTCTGGAGCCCGGGGAGGGCAAAATCCCTCCCTGCCATGGTGCAGGAGGCTAACTAGGCCACGCCCACCATAGCCACACCTACCCAGCAACCAGACAGAGAACCCCTTGCTAAAATTTTTAAAGCCCACCCCTGCCTCCAGTTCCATTTCACAGAGCAGTCTATAAATTCTCCATGATGTTGGCTTAGGTAGAAGTCATCTGTTCATTGAAGACAGCCAAGTGTTCCTCTGGAACTTGGTTTGATTTGCAGCATTAGGAGAGTTTGAGTTAAGGCGACGCTGAGCCCTGACTGATTTTTCAATCATATATTTGTCTGTCTTTGCCTCTTTGGCTACTGAATGTCTGTGGAGATTCTCAGCCATCCAGGTCATGGTTGGCCCAAAGGTGCTTTTCCAAAAGCTAACCGGACTTTGTTTTTTCCTTGAAGACCTTTCGCTTCTCATCCAAGAAGGTTCTTCAGTTCTGACACGAGTCCAAGAAGCTTCTTGGATGAGAAGCGAAACGTCTTCAAGGAAAAACAAAGTCCAGTGGCCTTTTGAAAAAGCACCTTTGGGACTTAGGTTACTGAGTTCTAGAGATCAATGGTGGTTTAACCTCAAGGCTTCCATCTCTCCAATGTGCAAATCTGCCATCTCTCGTGGCTCTAGAACAGGGGCGTCAAACTCAAGATCCGGGGGCCGGATCTGGCACACGGGGTGTTTAGATCTGGCCCGTGGGGCTGCCATGGAAACAGCAAAGGACCAGCCCGCAGTGCCTCTGCCAGCGAAAACGGAGCTCCGGAGGGCTGCGTGTGGCCCTCCCGAGCTCCGTTTTCACTGGCAGAGGGTTGCAGGAGGCCGTCCCAGCAGAAAACGGAGCTCGGGAACCCATTTTCGCTAGCAGAGGCCTCGGGCCTCCACAGGCGCCCCCGACACGAATGATGTCGAGTTGGCCATGCCCACCTTGGCCCCGCCCCACCCCGCCCCCATTCCTCCAAGGCCCACACAACCCTGATACAGCCCGGAATGAAATCGAGTTTGATACCCCTGGTCTAGAAGATGTTCACAAAATGTCCTGGATTGCAGGTATCCTGGAGAGCTGTGTTGTGGGGCCTTGGTCTACAGTTCGCCCTCGGACTCTTCATCATCCGAACTGAACCTGGATTTCAGGCTTTCGAATGGCTGGGCCATCAGATTCAGGTATGGTAGAATAAGGTTTGAAGACATTATATCCAGAGGTGGGAGTCACTCACCTTCCCTACCGGTTCGCAAATGTGAGCATGCGCACTTTCCACGCATGCTTGGCCTTCTACGCATTCTCTTTGCTTACACGCGCACCTCCCGTGCATGCACACGGCCTCCAAAATGTGGCTAAATAGGACAGAATTGTTGTGACCCAGGCCCAAGTGAGTAGTAGGAAAATCAGTCCGTGAAAAAACAAACTTTATTCGAACAGCTGAGAATTACTTCATTCCCAGCGTCGTTCAACTAAATTAAAGCAAATTCCTCCCAACACAAATTCCTCAGTCCTATCGCAAACCTTGGTCCAATTAGGCAAACTGCCAAAAGCATTTCTTGGCAAATGTTCAGAAGTCCCAGATACAAAAATAAATACAAGACATAGACGAAGAAGAAGACGAAGCTACCAACGTTGTTTTCTCGCAAAGCCCAAATGCTGCTTTGTTTTAAGCCTTATGGCAGGGGCCAATCATCTCTTGGCCCTACTCCCGAGTTGTGCTCTTTGCTTGAGCTGCTCTTGTCTTCTGGCAGCTCTTCTCATGTGTGCATTAGGAACAGGCTCCTCCTGTTCCTCTGCCTCACTCCTATCAGCCTCTGGAGGCTCTGGAGTCTGCATCTCATTCCCCAATGGCCCTGGCCCCATCTCTGCCTCCGATGCAGAGCCCTCATCTGGGCCTTCCCCAGCCTCCAGGACTGGCCCATGTTCTTCCTCAGCCTTGTTGCTGTCCGACTCCCCTGCCAGCTCCGCAGGCTGCTCACGGACCACAACAAGAATTACATCCGGGCATGTGGGCAGGGTCTACCGCAGTTGGCGCTACCGGTTCGACAGAACCAGAGAGAACCAGCTGAATCCCATCACTAGTTATATCCCACATTCCTCAAAGGGACAAAATCTCACATGTCTTACAAGTCACACATCCACTAGCTTCAGTTCAGAAAGATCCCCTTTGAATCATTAGCCAAATCAACTGTCTGGCTTCACACAAGACAAGGCCCAGTTTATCATGGTAAGATCTAGTGGGGAAGGAGAAGACTTAGACAGGTTCTCGAGCAACAAGGACAACGATTTTGAGTGATTATCATGATTATCATTGAATTTGCGCTTGAGCTTCTGTAGATCCAAAGGCTGCTAAAATGATCAGGGATCCCTCGTGTTGAATCACAGGTGTGCCGTAATGTCATTTTAAAAAAAATGAACATGACTCTTATTTCCAAACATTCCTTCTAATATTGTTCCTCTCACAGACATTCCTCAACTACACGACGGCAGGATCCAGCTTCGTCTTTGGGGAGAAACTGATTCAAGAAAGTTTTGCCTTTCAGGTGAATGTAGATAAACATATTCTCCTTCCCCTCCTCTTTCTGGCTCCCACTTTCTCTTGAAGGTCTTAAAAATGGCTTCACAGGTGCCTCACTCAGGTCTTCAGTTCTTTATGCTTGGGTGAAAGATGGAGAAGGACACTTCGGCTGGTCCATTCTGTGTCTTTGCCTCTGTCCACTGCTGTCTGCTCCTGTCAATTTGGGCAGGGGTCCCCAACCTTTCAGACCTCAGGGACCACTAAATTCATGATTTTAAATCCCACGGACCACTAATACAATCTGCCTAATGACTGGCTGGGTGGGTGTGGCTAGATGGTCATGTGACTGGGTAGGCATGGCCAAGTTGATGGCCAACTAAATGTCACTCACATCGAGGGGCGCCTTGCCAGCTTCTACTTACCCCTCCCCTGCCTGCCTCTCCTCGCCTCCCGACCCGGGCTCCTAAGAGCCCCAAGAGGAAGCAGTTGTTGGAGCTAAGCAGCCACCATGAGAAAGAACTGGCAAAACAGCTCAGTTCAAATTGGATCTCACTGAGAAGGAGGCTCAGCAGAAGCACCTCACTGAGGACTAGGAGCATAGGCTTTCGAAGAAGAGGGAAGACCTGCAGGAGTGCAAGGCCAGGTACCGGCGTCTGGAGGCTCAGCAGGCTGAGATGGTCAGCCAGTTCCAGGCCATGAGGCAGTCCCACTGGAACAAGGCCCTCGGGCTCTTCGCCACCAGTGGCACTTCCCTCCAGCCTTCACCCAAAGCCCTGCACCAGGAGGCCGAAGCAGACCCCGAGTTGAAATTTCTGCCCCCCTGTGACCCACACAAAAAGACCCCGAAGGGGGAGACTCTCTGCAGCAACACAAACGTTCATTGCACGTATCCGGCCCACGGGCCGTAGTTTGAGGACCCCTGATTTAGTGCAATATTAAAAAATGCAAATAATTTTTCTCGCAGACCACCAGTGGTCCACGGACCACCAGTTGGTGACCACTGAACTAGGGAGCATAACATCACGCCCAAAAATCCTCCAAACTGGATGTGGGCCCCACTGAGCAACTTGCTTTCTTCCCAAATTTGACCGAGCAAATCAGAAGATGGTTGCTCACCATTGTTTTCTGCACAAGAGGTCCATCAATGTGCAGATATATTTTAGAACATCTGGTCTGTTCAGGGTGCCCCGTGTTTTACTAGGAACCTAGGTTTAGTCTGACGGATTTTTTTCTCTAGGCTTCAAACTTTGTAAGAACCATATGATTTCTTTATACGAGAGTGTGATACTTTCCTCCAATTATCCTTCATTATTAATCATATTGGCTAGGGTTGATGGGAGCTGTCATTCAACAACATCTGGAAAGCTGAAGATGTCCTGTGCTAATAATGCATACTATTCTATTTTGTTTCCAGGCCCTGCCTGTTATCATCTTCTTCAGTTGTGTTATGTCCGTCCTCTACTACTTGGGAGTCATGCAGTTTATAATCCTGAAGGTAACGCTGAGCTTTCAAGAGTAAGCTTATAATTTTCCTGGTGGAGCTAAACAATATATTGATCATCCATATATACCGTACATCTGGCCATAAGGCACCTTGGAGAGGCCAAGATCCATTCTAAGGTACCCAAAGAGAGTAATATTACTTCTTCCGCTATTAGAAAGTACTAACAGAAGGGACACAACAGGATAATCTGCAAGGAAAGGGGTTATGATGAAGTAGACGGTGCAAAACAAAGAGTTGCCAAATCAATGGGGGTTATCAGAGATTGAAGAAGAGAGAAAAACATGGAAGATGCTACCTCAAAATGAACATTAGGGAATCTTGGTTGATGAACACAAGATGGGGGCAACACAGGCGATGGGGTAAATTCTGTTGACTGTGACATCTCTCCTGCCTGTGGACTTCATTCCAAGTCAGACCCCACTGCTCCATCTAGGTCACTCTAGACTGACTTTTTGGAAGAAGCTCTTCAGGATTTCAGATCCTTCAATCCTATTGAGATGTATCAATAGGACCAAAGGCTTTCTGGAATGCAAAGCATATGCTTGCCACTGAGCTATGGCCCCATTAGCTAAAGATGTGTCATTGCTGCAAGATTGGCAAATGAACCAGCCAGAGAATTAAATCTAGAATATTCTGGGCAATGACCCATAAGCTGCCAGTGTCCTCCAAGTCACCCTCTCCAACCTTCTTCCAACAGTTGTCTTGGCTCCTGCAAATCACAATGGGCACAGCGGCCACCGAATCTCTGAGTGTGGTGGGGAATATATTTGTGGGGATGGTAAGTGGTAAGTGATCTTGACTTCCTCCATGAATGCCCATGAATGGTCCTCTCAACCTTCTCCTCTCCAAACAAGAGAGGGAACAGACTTCCATTCTAATTTCTTTCTGTTTTTCATTTTCCGAAGCTATTTTGTTTCTGCATTCGAGAATAGTCTCTTTTCTCCCCCCTGACGATTTGGGGGAAAAAAATTGCTGGGGAAATGGGATACGTACTTTTGATTTGAAAATACATACATACATGGATTTTCTCCGAATACCTGCATCTTTGCCTTTTTCTTCGCTATAACCTTTTTTCCTTTTATTCTGCCTTGCAACATTTAAAGAAATGCAGATTTTAGAACTGGCTAATATTTGGACTGCATTTTGGTTCTGAAGTGCAAAACGAGGTTAAGTTTGCGTTCAGACGAATTTCTCTTTCATTTTTCTTTTGTAACGTGAAACAATCACAAAACTGGACGCTCTCTTTCTCGTCGTTTATTCCAGAACTGAGTATTTTATTCTCCTGGGCTGTGGGTTTAAGCAAAACATCAAATCATGCTCTCTCCTTGTTGTTTCTGAGATATATTTCTGGGGTCTGCAGATGTCTTGGAAAACCTCTATTTGATTTTATCTTTTGTCCTCCAGAGCGAAGCGCCCCTGCTCATCCGCCCCTACCTGGGGGACATGACACTCTCAGAAATCCATGCTGTGATGACCGGTGGCTTTGCTACTGTTGCTGGTAGTGTGATGGGTGCATACATTTCATTTGGGGTGAGTCTGATGAAATATGATATCCATTCAGTCGTATCTGACTCTTGGCGATTCTATGGGCCACATCTTCTGATCTTGCACTGTTTCTTTGAGTTGCTCTCTGCTCTGGCTCTAGGCCAACTTACGCTGGATCATGGAGAAAGCTAGGGAGTTCCAGAAAAACATCTACTTCTGCTTCATTGACTATGCTAAAGCCTTTGATTGTGTGGAACACAACAAATTGTGGCAAGTTCTTAAAGAGATGGGAGTACCAGAGCATCTTATCTGTCTCTTGAGAAACCTGTATGCAGGTCAAGAAGCAACAGTGAGAACTGGACACGGAACCACTGATTGGTTCAAAATTGGGAAAGGAGTCCAACAAGGCTGTATACTGTCACCCTGCCTATTTAGCCTATATGCAGAGCACATCGTGAGAAAGGCGGGGCTGGATGAATGAAAAGTTGGATTGCCAGAGGAGTTGCGCTTACAATTCATATATTAACTGCTGCAAGAATAACCTACGCAAGAAATTGGAAACAAGAAAAAATACCAAGTGAAACAGAAGTAATAGGGAAAATTTTAGAATGCGCTGAAATGGATAGGTTAACCAAAGAATTAGAAGAAAAAGAAGAATCAGACTATTATAAAATATGGAATAATTGGTATAATTGGTTAAAAATTAGAAATATACAAAAAATATAGGGGATATATTACTGATTGATACATATATATGTAATAAAAATATTATTAGATTACAGAAAGGTGAAGGAATATATTATAAGTAGAAGTGTAGAACGTCACTCTGAAAAAATGCTTAAGAAGAAATTATATTCTTTTTGTGTATATGTTGTATAAATGTTAGTTGTGTATATGTTACGTATGTCTTTTTTAATATTTATATTCAATAAAAACTATTTAAAAAATAAAAAGAAAAGTTGGATTGCCGGGAGAAATATCAACAACCTCAGATATGCAGATGATACCACTCTAATGGCAGAAAGCAAAGAGGAATTAAAGAGCCTCTTGATGCGGGTGAAGGAGGAGAGTGCAAAAGTTGGCTTGAACCTCAACATTAAGAAAACTAAGATCACGGCATCTGGCCCTCTCAATTCCTGGATTAAAGAACACCGTATCTTTCGACTCTTCTGTGACAATTTGTGATCCTTTTTGCAGATTGATGCCTCGTCTCTGATTGCAGCCTCAGTAATGGCAGCACCTTGTGCTTTAGCTATGTCCAAACTTGTCTATCCAGAAGTGGAACAGTCCCAATTCAAAAGCCAGGAAGGCATCAAAATTGCCTGCGGGTAAGAAGCAGCTAAAATCCATGAGGTTCCCATGGCTTGTATAGAGGGATCTAGGAAGCAGGTTTCAAGGAGAAGATGGAGAGAAAAGACGAGAAGACCAATGTGTCAAGCACAACTGGGTGGGGAGAAGGTTGGAGAGCTACAAAGGGAAGAAGGTGTGGTCCCAGCTTCCCAGCTATTTTTACCTGGGCTGGCAGGAAGGCTATGGTTCAGGTCCCATCAATTAAAGCATACCACCTAGCAGGATCTCTCTGTCACAGAGCCTGCCTTTGGAAACTCCACAGCCTCTGAGTGGGATTAGATTGGCCCTGTCTCTGTATAGCATGCTTTTTTCAACATGCATCTCAGTTGTCTAGAAAGGTATGGACGACAAACAAATTTAAGGAGGAGGGAGGAAGGAAGGGAGGAAGGAAGGAAGGAAACAGAAAGAGGGAAGGGAGAGAGGAAGGCAAAAAGGAAGGAAGTTGGAGGGTGGGAGGGAGGGAGGGAGGGAGGGAGGGAGGAAGGAAGGAAGGAAGGAAGGAAGGAAGGAAGGAAGGAAGGAAGGAAGGAAGGAAGGAAGGAAGGAATATTCTGGACCATCTCTCCATTTCCTTCTCTCTTTGTACCTTCCCGCAGGGAGGAAAAGAATATTCTGGAAGCTGCTGGTAACGGTGCCTCTCTCTCTGTGGGACTGGTGGTCAACATTGCAGCCAACCTCATTGCCTTTCTGCCTGTGCTGGCCTTCATCGACGCTGTCCTCAGTTGGCTAGGAGGCATGGTTAACTTGCCCCAACTCTCCTTCCAGGTATGTCCCACACAAGACACCCAAGTTGTTTATAACAGGATAATGAAAACATGGATTTCTTAAAAGAAATTGTCTTCTGGCTTTCAGCTGATCTGCTCATACGTCCTGATGCCTTTAGCCTTCTTGTTAGGGGCCAGCTGGGAAGAGGCCTCCCTGGTCGCTGAGATGCTGGGAGTCAAGTTCTTCTTAAATGAATTTGTGGCCTACCAGCATTTGTCGATCTACAAAAAGAATCGTCTGACGGGTCTTCCCGAGTGGGATGGTTCTCAAAAGCAGTGGATTTCGGTAAGTACCTGGGTTATAATAGTGTATGGAAAAAGAAGCCCCTGCCCTTTCTCCTCCTAGCCCACCTGCCCTGCCCTCTTCTTCATTTGGTGGGAGCCATCTCAGAAACAAAAGTCCTGGACGTCCCGATTGGCATGGGGTTACAGGAGCTTCAATGGGCTTTTCTTCTTAAGACCAATGCTTTTGGCAACTTTAAGATGGGTGGGTTTCAACTTCCCCATGCGGGTTGGAGAATTCTGGGAGTGAATTCCACGCATCCAGAAAGTCCACCCATCAGGGGTGAAATCCAGCAGGTTCTGACAGGTTCTGGAGAACCGGTAGCGGAAATTTTGAAGAGTTTGGAGAACCAGCAAATACCACCTCTGGCGGGCCCCCCGAGTGTGGTGGGAATGGAGGTTTTGCAGTATCCTTCCCCTGCCACGCCCACCAAGCCACGCCCACAGAACCAGTAGTAAAAAAAAAAAATGGATTTCACCACTGCCACACATCCTAAAGTTGCATAATGGGACAACTCACCAACTCGCTGCGCGACCAACTCGCCATGTAATATCTTTGAGATTAGTGTAACTCTTGTCCTGCTGCGAGTTGGCCGTGGTGAGTTGGCCACGGCAAATAGTCATAGACCCCCAAAGTTGACTATCCTTGGTTGAGTACCCAATAGCAAGTGCTGAGCAAGGAAAACTGGAAGATGCCGACTGAAGGAGGAATGAATGGGTAGAGGATTTATTCTTTATCACAACACTGATTTCTCTCCCTCCCTCCCTCCCTCTCTTTCCCTCTCCCTCCCTCCCTTCTCCTCTCTCCCTCCTTTCTCCCCCTCCCTCCCTCCTCTCTTGTTCTTCCTCCTTTCTCCTGTCTCTCTTTCTCCTCTCTCCCTCCCTCTCTCCCTCTCCCACCCCCTCCTTCCCTCTTTCTCCCTCCTCTCTCTCTCCCTCCCTCTCCTCCCACCCCCTATCTCCCTCTCCCTCCCCCTCCCTCCCTCTCTCTCTCCTTAGCCCAGAGCCGAAACCATTGTAACTTTTGCCCTGTGCGGATTTGCCAACCTGAGCTCTATTGGGATCATGCTGGGTGGCTTGAGTAAGTCAACAAATGGTGGGAGGAAAAAGACTCTCTTTGCTGCCAGGGGCGGGGAAGGCATGGACTGCCCCATAGCTACGTCCTCTGGGGCTTAAGCATCCCAACCTCTCCTCCCAACCAAAGGCTTGGTTATTCCCAGCTACCAAAAGGGGTTTGGTCCTGAGGAGAGCAATTTCAAAGTTATATAGCTCTTCACGTCTTCCCTCTGCTTTTCTTTTAACATGAAGCTTCGATGGCACCACAACGCAAGGGTGAATTTTCCAGCATCGTTGTACGAGCTTTGCTTACCGGGGCCTGCGTCTCTCTAATCAACGCCTGCATCGCAGGTACTGCCTGGGGGAGGTTGGGGGGGGGAAAGGGTTAAAAGGGAAACAACTACAATTGAGCCCCACATTTTTATTGCTAAGTGAAACATGTGTTAAGTGAAAGGTGTGTTAAGTGAAACATGTGTTAAGTGAAACGTGTGTTAAGTGAAACATGTTAAGTGAAACATGTGTTAAGTGAAATGTGTGTTAAGTGAAAGGTGTGTTAAGTGAAACATGTTAAGTGAAACATTGTGTTAAGTGAAAGGTGTGTTAAGTGAAACATGTTAAGTGACATGTGTTAAGTGAAAGGTGTGTTAAGTGAAACATGTTAAGTGAAACGTGTGTGAAGTGAAACATGTTAAGTGAAACATGTGTTAAGTGAAATGTGTGTTAAGTGAAACGTGTGTTATGAGCTATGTGTTAAGTGAGTTTTGCCCCATTTTACAACCTTTTCTGTTAAGCGAATCACTTGCAGTTGTCAAGCTAGTAACCCGGTTGTAAAGTGAACCTGGCTTCCTCACTGACTTTCCTTGTCATAAAGTCGTCAAAGGGGAATCACGTGTGACCGCCCAGGACGCTGCAACCGTCATAAATAGGAGTCAGTTGGCCAAGCGTCTGAATTTGGATCACCTGATCATGGGGATCCTGCAACGGTCGTGTGAAAAACGGTCACAAGTCACTGTTTTCAGTCCCGTTGTAGGTTCGAACGGTCACTAAATGAAACTGTTGGAAGTGGAGAACTACCTGTATGGGGTTCTTACGTTCTCTCGGCACAAGCTCGTGTTTTTTTTCTGCACGCGGTTTTCTTTGCAACAAGACAGACCGGTGGGTTTGAACCAGGGGTGGGTTGCTCCCGGTTCAGTCCGGTTCTATAGAACCGGTAGTAAAACTGGCGGGAGGCTCCACCAACCCGCCATGACGTCATCATGTACAGAAGCGCGCGAGAGAGAGTGAAGCAAGCGCAGGCAGGTGCGAGTTCCCGCTGCGAATCGGTAGTAAAGGCAAGTGGAACGCGCCCGTGGTTTGGACCCACCAGTTGGTGACTTCCTTTCTCTTTAAGCAAAGGTGTGGCTTTTCCCACAAGCTCTGAATTTCCTACCCACAGGAATCCTTTATGTGCCCAGAGAAGTCCCCGACTGTTTAGACTTCTTCAGCAGTACCACCATCAACTCTACCAGCTACTCTCTCCATGAATGCTGTAAAGATTTGTTCAGCAGGTGAGAGCTTCCAGGTGTGGCGCGTGTGAAATACGTGGTGAAAGAAGTGACACCCCCCCCCCCTTGTTGGCGAACCTATGCCACGCGGGCCCTCTCTGTGGGCATCCGTGCTGTCGCCAGCTGCTCTTCGGATTTCCGGCACGTGCATCAGCAGTGGGTTGCAAAACCTGTCGCTACCGGTTCGCTCGTGCAGGCCTGTGCACTTGCACGCATGTGCAATGCTTCTGTGCATGCACAGAAGTTTCTGCACATACACAGAAGCGTCCGGTGCAGGTGGGCGGAGCCTCCTGCCGCCGCCACCAGTTCGCCAATCTGGGTAGAATCGGTAGTAACCCACCACTGAGTAGAACCCACCCCTGATCCACAGCTTCCAAGATGCCTGGAGGTTCCCATGTTTGAAAACTGTGTTTTTGAAATCCTGGCCATCAATGCAGCCCTAGGAACCCCTCGACTGTTGTGTATGTGGTCTTCCATTCCCTTAAAAATCCTTTTTTTTTTAATTGAAAAAGTTTTACAAATATCAATTTTTCCCCATTTCCCCCCCCTCCCCCCCTAACCCCCCCCACCCCCCCCCCTTCCCCTGACTTCCCCCACGTGAAATCCATCCACATTATATTATATCATACTTTACCACCCCTCTATTCTCCCCCCCTGTGCACTATACATTTCTACATAACAATAAGCTATTTTGCCCCCGATAAACTATACACTTCTACACAACATTCAGCTAAAAGCTAGTTTGATATTTATTCTGCACATAATCTATCCATTTCTTCCACTCCCATGCATAAGTCTCCTGAGTCCGGTCTTTTAAATATGCTGATATCTTCTGCAAAACTGACCATCTTCAAAGTCCATTCTTTTTTTTTTTTTTAAATGACCATGAGATGGCACCCTTTCGCCTTGGGAAAAAAACCCCCCACAGCAAATCGATACTCAACTTTGTAGTGGCTTCAACGGTTCGGCATCACTATGGCCGGTCATTTAATTTCCAGAAAGAAATATTGCAAATATCTATCAAGCGCCGAATAGATTTCCACATCACATTGGTTGCCTTTTTTCTTTTAAAGTGAAATGACCTGCATGACAGGTTCTCCTATTTTTTTACGTCGGCATTATCCGTGGAAAATGAGAGGCTGGAGAACCGCATTTCGGAGAAGGCAGAGAGCCCTGGTGACGCGGTCGTTAGAATGCAATATTTGCAGCCTAACTCTGCCCGCAGCCAGGAGTTCAATTCTTATTGGCTCAAGGTTGACTCAGCCTTCCATCCTTCTGGGTTGGATAAAATGAGGACCCAGATTGTTGGGAGAGGACTGTGAATCAGATCACATGCAACCCCAAACTTGGAGGACTAATTTGGTTTGATTTTTGCATGGACTGTGGGGGAGGTCAGAGGTGGGCTGCTGGGGGTTCGCAGGGGTTCGGGAGAACCTCTAGCTAAGATTCTGTGCAGTTCAGAGAACCCCCAAATCCCACTCATGGCTGGCCTTGCCCACCCCACCCCACCCCTCCCAGGAGTCCCCACCTGGCCCGTTTTGGATGCGGGTAAGTGCAGGCTGCGTGCGGAGGCTCTGGGAGGGCGAAAAACGGGCCTATTGGAAGTTCAAGAAGGCCAGAAGCGGGCCTGTTTCCGGCCTCCAGAGCCTGGGGAGGCCGTTTTCACCCTCCCGGGGGCTCGAGAAAAGCCTCCGGAGCCTGGGGAGGGCAAAAACACCCACCCACACACACCGTGGTGCAGGAGACCGACTAGGCCACGCCCACCATGGCCACGCCCACCCAGCAACCAGGCAGAGAACCCCTTGCTAAAATTTTTGAAGCCCACTCCTGCCTGGCACCCTGATTGCACATATATGCTGTGTTCCTCTTTTTTCCTCTCTCTGGTGCTGGTCCCTGGCCCAGGAGTTGCAGTCCCCTTCAGAAAAGCACTATGGGTCAGTAAATAAGCGCTGTTGCTATTTAACCCCCTAATCTCTCAACTTTTCTTTTCCGCAGTGCCTTACCCAGTTTTAATGGATCTCTCTCCTTCGGTGGCATCTGGGAGACGCTACACGCCAACACAACGCAGGGCTATCTCCAGGAATGCTGCGGTCATTATAGCTCCCCCGTATGTCCCAAGCCTTAACGGATGAAGAACGAGATGGCGGAGCACAAGAGAGCACATTGGATGGATACGTAGAGGATGAATAAAGGAGGGAGGTGGCAGTTTTGAAAAAGTTCACAGGATTGTGAGAGAAAGAAGAGGGGTTTGGGGGAAAGAGCGAGGAGCAACATTTCACCTTCGACTGTAAAAGGAAGGCTTTTTATCAACGCCAACGAAGAATGCAAAGGGCTCAAAGCTGCACTGTGATGTATGAAAAAGAAATCCTCCGTTTTTGGGGGGTTGGAAGTACTCCAGGCCACACATCATGCAAATACAACACTCCTTTCAGTGGTTTAGTTTTGTGGCCGTGCGAGAAAGGGTTGAAGCAGTCAAGTTGTTCCTGGCAGAGATGGGCAACTTTTTGTTTGTTTTTTTTCGCAATTGAATCCCAAGAGTTCATCCAGCCTTCCTTTGATCTCTTTGCACTCATTTCCTGTTGGCTCTTCAGTTGCAGAGGTGACTACGACATGCCAGAGGTGGGTTTCAGCAGGTTCTGACCAGTTCTGGAGAACTGGTAGCGGAAATTTTGAGTAGTTCGGAGAACCGGTAGTAAAAATTCTGACTGGCCCCGCCCCCATCTATTCTCTCTGCCTCCCAAGTCCCAGCTGATCGGGAGGAAATGGGGATTTTGCAGTAACCTTCCCCTGGATTGGGGAGGGAATGGAGATTTTATAGCATCCTTCCCATGCCACGTCCACCAAGCTACACCCACAGAACCGGTAGTAAAAATTCTGACTGGCCCCGCCCCATCTATTCTCTGCCTCCCAAGTCCCAGCTGATCGGGAGGAAATGGAGATTTTGCAGTATCCTTCCCATGCCACTCCCATCAAGCCACACCTACCAAGCCATGCCACGCCCACCAAGCCACACCCACAGAACCGGTATTAAAAAATTTTTGAAACTCACCATTGCTACACCCATGTCTACCCACGGATACACCCCACTGAATTTCAATGAGATTTGTGCTCGAGAGAAAACCCCACTCACACCACGGGAGTTTCTTCCCAAGTAACAAAAAAAAAACCTAAAACCCTCAAACTTGCAGATGGCAAAATTACTTGTTTTGGAAATAAACCAATGTCCTCATTCGTATTTTCCAAGAAACCGTGTTCTCAAGTCTACGCTTACCAAAGTCTTGGCCACCAGCCAGATTTCAACAGAGAAATGTGCACATACAGTACGTAAAATTCAGAGACGATCTCAGCTGCTTCCACAGACAAGTTACATCCTGTTTCACTTTATTCAGCAACTCTTGAACCCCAGGTGGTTTATTATGATTATGAATATTAATATTATTATTGAGTCAGCATTACACAACCCAATCAGTCCCATATTTTTTTTTTAATTTGATTTATATGCCACCCGTCTCCGGAGACTCAGGGCGGCTTACAATGCGCTAAGCAATAGCCTTCATCCTTTTGTATATTTATACAAAGTCAGCTTATTGCCCCCACAAACTGGGTCCTCAATTTACCTACCTTAGAAAGGATGGAAGGCTGAGTCAACCTTGAGCCTGAGGAGATTCGAACTTGCAGTAATTGCAGGCAGCTGAATGTTAATAACAGGCTATTAGTCTGCTGTGCCACCAGGCTCTTGTTTTTCTCTCGGTATTCTTGTAAACCAGGGGTATCAAACTCAAGGCCCGGGGGCCAGATCCAGTCCACGGAGTGCTTAGATCTGGCTCATGGGGCCACCTGGAAACAGTAATGTTCTGGCCCGTGGAAGCCTCTGCCAGCGAAAACAGAGCTCTGTTTTCACTGGCAGAGAGTTGCAGGAGGCCATCGCAGCTGAAAACGGAGCTCGGGAGCCCGTTTTTGCTGGCAGAGCATTTGGGCCACCACAGGTGACCCTGACACGAGTGACATCGAGCTGGCCACGGCCACCACATCCACGTCCATTCCGGACCACCAAGGTCAAACACAATCCTGATGCAGCCCTCCATGAAATTGAGTTTGACACCCCTGTCGTAAACCCTTGTCCTCTAGGAGGGCGTGTAGCTTCATTCCTGCACCTGAAGGAGCTTCCAAGACAAGGTTTTGGCCCTGCCACTTCGACATCACAGCTTCAACAGAAGTTCCGATCCATCAAATGAGGTTCTACATGGTTTGTTGGATGATCCGCCGTGGGGGAAGAGTCCACAAGGGGAATTCGGCTCCCTTCTTGGGCTTGGGGCAACTCAAGCACGACTATCAAGCAGCCATATTGAGAATGAATTTGTTTTCGAATTGAATGGCACGTGAAGGTAACATTTTAGAAGGACCACCCATACTCCTTGATGTTACTCATCCCGCTCTGCTCCTTACATCGTATCGGAGGTCCCTTTGGGGTTCCTAAGGTGTTCTCTGTCTAAGGTTGTGATAGAGGACAATAGAGATTTATTCACAAGTCTCCAGATGGTGATGGATTATACAGTAGTCTTTGGTGAAGGAACGGCTGATGGGGCACCTATGTTCTATAGGCTGTTCCAGGGTTTTCTTGCTCAGTGACATCTCCATCCTACCTGTAATTTGATTGAGCTCACAGCTATAGGGCAATTTTATTTGACAGTAAAAGATAAAGGTTAGGATACATGCTAGTCGTTCCCGACTCTAGGGGGCGGTGCTCATCTCTGTTTCAAAGCCGAAGAGCCAGCGCTGTCCGAAGACATCTCCATGGTCATGTGGCCGGCATGACTAAATGCCAAAAGCGCACGGAACGCTGTTACTTTCCCACCAAAAGGTGGTCCCTATTTTTCTACTTGCATTTTTTACCTGCTTTGGAACTGCTAGGTTGGCAGAAGCTGGGACAAGTCACGGGAGCTCACCCCGTTATGCAGCACTAGGGATTCGAACCGCTGAACTGCCGACCTTCTGATCGACAAGCTCAGCGTTTTAGCCACTGAGCCACCGCGTGCCATTATTTGATAGTAGGGGGTGCTTAAAATCTTGCTGGTTGCAGCCAATTGCTACACAGCCTACATTTATCTGCTAAGGAGAAATTTGGGAAAAAAGCAAAATATATAAAGTGAATCAAGAGAATGTTGTTCAAGAGAGAGATTTCTATCTAAAAGGCCTTCCCTAATTCTACATCCTCAAGAGATGACCGACCTGTACTTCCAGAATTCCTAGGGTTCTGAATCCTGGCTAATCCCAACACATCTAGAAGAAATTAGGCTGAGGAAGACTGCACACTATAGCTATATATAGTTCATACAATATCCTTGTCAGCTGTAAATTTAGGAACTGCATTCATACAGTCTGAACTTGGTTCCTGTTAACCCGGTTTATGGGAGGAATTTGGAGTGCGAATCCAGCTTCTTTGGTTAACTTATGGGTCCGTGTGTGATGTGAATCCAGAAAAAGAAAGTTAGCTCAGTAACCAAGTTAAGCCCGTTATGTGAATGCGAGCTATCTGTGGTCATTAACGGGTAAGAAATATAACAAGAACTGCTTTGAATATTCAGCAGCAAGTTCCAGAGTCTCGGATAGCAAGGTTTCCCTTACTCTTGGATCTCTTGACTGGTTGACCAAAACATCAACTGAAATCAGAGCTTTCGGTGTGCAAAATATGTGTTCCATCTGCACCCTGAATGGATGGAAGGGTAGTTGAGCAAGAAGCGTTTAATCTTCCGCTAATCTCAGCAGCCTCACTTGATTGACCAAATGTCCTCTGCGTGACATATTTGACACTTTAATTGTCCCCAAACACAGGTGCAAGGAGGTACCACCACAGCCACGTCACATGGAGTCCCGTCAAGGAAGCAGCATCTCCCTCCGAAGGAGAAGGGAGAAGTCAACTCTCTTCTCCTAGGTGCTGTTTTGGGGATGGATGGGAAGAGAGGATCGGGCCAAAATTAATTCTCAAGAGTCTCACTGGGGTTGTGGTGGCCCACACCATCATGGGGAAAAAAACAGAGAGCATTGGGTCTTTGGTAGAGGACGTATTGCAGTCAAAGTCCTGAATTACAGCCCAGCAAAGCACAGGTCCACCTGGCCACCTGGCATCCAGTCCCCATCTTGGACTTCAACCTATTGGGAGCTGTAGGACAGGCTCAATATTCAAAGCACCAAGGAGAAACAGAATCACACGGGCACTTAAGTCGGGTGCCAGGCTCCTGCCTCGTGTGATGGGACTGTGAAGACAGACGTCACTCTCTGCAGGATCAGCAGTAGTGACCACACGTTGCATTCACACATCATTCCTGAGGGCATCTAAACCTGCCCAGAGAGCCATGATCAGCATGGCTCTTTCCCTCAAACACCACACACAGACCTCACGCAAGGAAAGGTGGGGGGAGCCACAGGAGGACAAGGCAACCCTGTCCCCTTCCTCAGGCACACACAAGGTGCCCCCACTGCCCATCATCACTGCAGCTGTCCTATCTTGTCGCTGTCTCTTCCTTTGGGCCATGCCGTCGATTGTGATTCCGCCACATGTTCTGGACATTTCCGGGCATTCTTGGGGCTCACAGACCCTTTTCTGGAAGCCTGAGGACTAGAGAGGCCTTTTTTCTGGAGCTGAGGGCTGGATTGAGCTGATGAGGATTTTCTGCCCACGTTGGGGCTTCGAGAACCTTTGCTTCTCGGCGGAGGTTGAGGAACCTCAAGGCTTTTCAGAGCCAGCAGCTCACAGTAACGGTTGCATTGATGGGAGGTAACAAAGTGATTGAGGAGGTTGGGGTAGCAGCTCTCCTTCAGGCCTTGGTACCTGGCAGAGAAAGAAGGTTACTCCCCAAGATAAATTCCCCATCCATCTTTGACATGCTTGTAAATTATGGGAGTCACTGATGCTTCCCCCTGGTCTTGTATCTGTTAATGGATTAGCTGCAGGGGTGAGATGCTACCAGTTTGCTCAGTTCCGGTAGTAATAAAAATTACCGGTTCAAGTGAACCGATAGTAAAAAAAATGCTTTAAAAAGTAAAAAAAAAAAGAGATTCCGACAATCACAGCTGTGCCGCGTGATCATCGGAACCTTTTTTTTTTTTTTTTACTTTTTTCAAGCATTTTTTACTACCTATTTGCCCGAACTGGTAGTAAAAAAATGCTTTAAAAAAGTAAAAATAAAAGGTTCCGACGATCACGCAGCACAGCTGTGATCGTCAGAACCTTTTAAAAACTTTTTTAAAGCATTTTTTTTACTACCGGTTTGGGCGAATAGGTAGTAAAAATTGCTTTAAAAAATTTTAAAAAAATTAAAATGTCCACACCCACCCAGTCACATGACCCCACACCCACCAAGCCACGCCCACCAAGCCACGCCCACAGAACCGGTAGCAACAAATTTTACATTTCACCACTGATCAGCTGGCATCTGAGAGACAGCCTCTGCGTTAGTAGGCACCATAGAAAATTGCAAAGGATGTATCTGAAAAAAGATTTCAGGAGACCTGTGGGTGACTAATCAGGGTTTAAATGCCCATATCCCAAAAGATCTCCTGGCCTGGATTGTATAAGAGTTTAGCATGGAACTGGCCAATCTTTGTCTTTTGCTAAGCCATGATGGACAAAGATGTCATGGATTCCCAGTTCAGGAGTATGAGCTGCACGGAAATCTGGTACAGCAAGAGATTACTATCGTGGTTTCAACCTAGAAGGAAGCTATGGATACCCTAAAATACCCTGAGATTTGAGTAAAAAAGATGCCAAAACTGTTTATTATTTGGCGGGAAGATAGAAACTGTTAGTGAGCGATATTGGCAGATTCCTTTATGTGCCAAAAATAGAGAATTATAGGGCTGGAAGAGATCTTAGAGGTCTTCTAGTCCAACCCCTTGCCGAAGCTCTTGTCTTGGCTCGCTCCGGTTGAACCCACTTATCCAGCCTGGAATGAAAGCTACACAATGTGATTACTTACCCCTTGATTTTGGTAGCAATCTTCACGTTGGTGACCTTCCACCCGACTCCTGCAAGAGAAGCTCTGTGTCAGTTTTGGAAGACAATTTTCTTTTTTGCTTCTTAACTGCCACCTATTTTAGCTGGGGAAGATGGGAGGGGTTTGTTGTTGGAGCGATAGAAAGTTAGTCATAACAACATTCCGTCTTCAAGGACTTTTGCCTGCATCTGATGGAGACTGCCTGAAGATTGTATCCGGCGGAGTGTGAAGAGTTGATTGGACAATGTGATGAGCTTGTGGGTGTGGGGCGGGGCTATGAACTGTTAGCTGGGTGGAGAAAATCTGGAAGCTTTCAGATTCGGGTTTTCCCAGATGTGCCAACATGACCTCTCTAATAAATTGGAACTTTGAGGAACCTCAGGCCTCAGAGTTTTATTTCGTTGAAGGTGTTCCTTGGAACCCTGACACTCTGATGAAATCATAAGGTAGGTCCACCACTCCTCATCTTTGTTTGAGTGACAACATCATGGCTGACTCTTAAAAGGTCACACTGAAGCCAGCCTCAATCCATTCATCTACAGCAGAGATGCAAAAATCTACATTCCTCCCAGTGGTGAAATGTAAAATTCGTTACTACCGGTTCTGTGGGCGTGGCTGGGTGGGGGGGGTAATGTGACTGGGTAGGTGTGGTCAACTTTTTTTTTTTACTTTTAAAAGCATTTTTTCTACAACCTTAAGAGGTTGCAGGAAAAAAAATTCTTTTAAAAGCCTCTGACGATCAGGCAACTCAGCTGGGATCGTCAGAGGCTTTTAAAGGCATTTTTATTTCTTCAGCTGAAGAGGTTGTAGAAAAAAATGCTTTTAAAAGCCTCTAAAGATCCCAGCTTAGTTGCCTGATTGTCAGAGGCTTTTTTTTCCTTTTAAAAACATTTTTTCTATAACCTCTTCGGCCGTAGAGGTTGTTAAAAAAAAAATGCTTTTAAAAGCCTCTGATGATTCCAGCTGAGCCGCGTGATCATCAGAGGCTTTTTTTTTTTACTTTTAAAAGCATTTTTTCCACTGAAGAGGTTGTAGAAAAAATACTTTTTAAATTTTTTTAAAAAAAGGCCTCTGATGATCGCGTGGCTCAGCTGGGCATGGGGGGGAGGCAGGGATTTTTGCTAACAGCTCTCCGAACCACCCACCGCCATCCCTACCGGATCCGGCGATCCGGTCCGAACCGGGAGCATTTCACCCCTGATTCCTCCCACTGTTGCTGACCTCCAACTGTGTCTCCAACTCCCAGCATTCCTCAGAACATCAGGAGGACAACAGACTATCTATCTAGCGATCTGACCTAGAGAAGCTTCCCTCTTAGAAGGTGCATCTAGTTGCCCACACAAGAACCTCACCTTCCAGATCTGTCACCAAGATATTGCCATTTGTCCACTGGTAAAGCCAGTGCTGGAAAGCAGAGCATTTTTGCCCAATCTCGGAGGGGTTGGGTGGAGCCAACCTGTTGCCGTCTCCTTCTCGTCCACAGTAGCACTGAAATGAGCCGGGCAAATCTTGCTCCATGGTTGCATAAGGAATATTATTGGCTGGGCGATAGATTAGGTAAAGTGGGATTATCCTGTGTCAAAAAAAAGAGAAAAGAGTGCTTCTATTAAAGGTAAAGGTAAAGGTTCCCCTTGCACATATATGCTAGTCGTTCCCAACACTAGGGGGCGGTACTCAATGCCGTTTCAAAGCCGAAGAGCCAGCGCTGTCCAAAGACATCTCTGTAGTCATGTGGCCGGCATGACTCAACGCCAAAGGCACACGGAACACTGTTACCTAGTGTTGTGGCCCCGCCCTCTGAGCCTATGTCATCGGAGGAAGAAAGCTCCGAACATGAGGGAGAGGAGTCAGCCAGGCCTCCCTCTCCAGGCCCCTCCCCTCTGGCACTGTCTCAGGTGCCGGCCGAGGGAGAGGAGATTAGCCAGGAGCCAGGTGTCTCGGATGAGAGCGAGGAAGGAGAGCCGTCGTTCCTGGATGCACGCCAACGAAGGCGTGATAAACGGTTGCAGCAGTTAAGGAGGCGTGCTAGGGCTTAGAACTGAGTCACTGGACCACACCCCAGAGACTATATAAGAGAGGGTGGTGGCTGGTAAAACTCCATGACGAACAAAAACGAACTTTGGCTAGTCACTTGAACAACGTCTGAAGCTGCCGAAAGGGATATTGTTTTGCTGGACTATTTGCAATGCGTATGTAATTTTATGTTATCTGTTGCAGTAAAAGCTCTTGGCAGATGGTGATTATACTGCTGCCAAGTTTGAGATAACGACCTGTGTGCGTGCCAAGTACTTTCTTAACCCTCGGCTGGCTGTGTTTGTGTGTGTGTGTGGACGGTGACAGATCACCTTCTCACAAAAGGTGGTCCCTTGGTCAGAGGTCTAGGACTACCTGCAAACCTATGAAGATTTAAACAGGCAGTTCACAGCCCTAGAAAGAAACAACTTACTCAGGTATTGAGCCAAAGTCAGCAATGGCTCTCGTCTCTGCCGCAAAGATCTTGCAGTATTCCCGACTTGAATTCTGGATTTTACACTCCTGCAAGGAAACAGACAGCTCTTGATATCTAACCGGACGGTAATGGGGCAGAAGTTGCCTTCGGAAGTGGTGGGAGCTTCATCACTGGAAGCTGTCAAGAAGAGATTGGACTGCCATTTGTCAGAAATGGTGTAGTAGGGTCTCCTGCTCGGGCGGAGGGTGGGGGTTGGACGAGATGACCTACAAGGTCCCTTCCAACTCTGTTATTCTATAATCAATGGAACAGAAGTTGCTTTCAGAAGTTATTGGAGTTTCATCACTGGAAGCTTTCAAGAAGAGACTGCTTCTTGAACCCAAGCTTGTGGGCAGAATTTGCCTGCAATACTGCATTCTAACCACTGGGAGGGAGGGAGGGAGGGAGGGAGGGAGGGAGGGAGGGAGGGAAGGAAGGAAGGAAGGAAGGAAGGAAGGAAGGAAGGAAGGAAGCAATAGCACTTGGACTTCTATACCACTTCACAGTGTTTACAGCCTTCTCTAAGCGGTTTACAGAGTCAGCCTATCAGCCCCAACAATCTGGGTTCTCATTTTTACCGACCTCGAAAGTATGGAAGGCTGAGTCAACCTTGAGCCTAGTGAGATTCAAACTGCCAAACTGCAGGCAGCTAGCAGAAGTAGCCTGCAGTACTGCATTCTAACCACTGCGCCACCACGGCTCTTAATAAATAAATATTGCCCCCAACAATCTGGGTCCTCATTTGTCTGACCTCGGAAGGATGGAAGGCTGAGTCAACCAGGATCGAACTGCTGGCTGTGGGCAGAGTTTGCCTGCAATATGGCATTCTAAGCACTGCGCCACCATGCCCCTTCCTTCCTTCCTTTCCTTCCCACTTAGCAATAGCACTTAGATTTATATATCGCTTCACAGTACTATACAGCCCTCTCTAAGCAGTTTATAGAGTCAGCATAATTGCCCCCAACAATCTGGGTCCTTATTTTACCCACCTCGGAAGGATGGAAGGCTGAGTCAACCTTGAGCCGGTCAGGATCGAACTGCTAAACTGCTGGCAGCTGGCAATCAGCAGAATTAGCTGCAGTACTGCATTGTAACCACTGCGCCACCACGGCTCTTATGACGATAATTCCATGCTCAATTGCGGTTCGTAGGGTCAAGCACCACCTGTACTTTGTCTAATTCTTGATGACTGAACTTGAAGATCTGCTTGACTACAGAACTGGGGTCAAGGAAGGGATCCCCTTCTACCCACCTGAATGGTGATATCGTAATTCCTCTCCACCAACGTGTTCTCACTGCGTCCACCAAATGCAATGAGGTTGTGGACTTTAATAATGCCAGTGTGCCCAGACTCGAAGACTGGCTCAAGGCCATAAATGGCACGGGCACGGCAAGCCTTGCGTAGAAATCCTTCTCCAACCTCCAGGTCCTCCACCATGATCCGACCAAAGAGCTTATCCCCCCAGAAGCCAGAGTCAGCTAGACCTTTGGCAAACACCATGGGGGTCATCTCGATCTCCTCTCCAGCTGAAAAGAATAGAAGAAGTGCCTTAACTTTAAGACTGGGATTCCTAGCAGTGGAGGAGGAGGAGGAGAAGAAGAAGGAGAAGAAGCCACCAGGTGGTCATCTGGGGCCATATCTACTGCTTGCAGCAATGGCTGAAGTAGGAAATCAGGCGTGGGTTGATGCCACCAAGATTTGCTGGTCTGATTCCATAAACAACATTGTCTGCAATGTTGGTTCATGTATGGACCAAATCAGTGGTGGGTTTCAAAAATGTTTACTAACAGTTCTGTGGGTGTGGCTTGGTGGGCGTGGCTTGGTGGGTGTGGCAGGGGAAGGATACTGCAAAATCCCCATTTCCTCCCCAATCCAGGGGAAGGTTACTGCAAAATCCCCATTTCCTCCCAATCAGCTGGGACTTGGGAGACAGAGAATAGATGGGGCGGGGCCAGTCAGAATTTTTACTACCGGTTCTGTGGGTGTGGCTTGGTGGGCGTGACAGGGGAAGGTTACTGCAAAATCTCCATTCCCTCCCCAATCCAGGGGAAGGTTACTGCAAAATCCCCATTTCCTCCCGATCAGCTGGGACTTGGGAGGCAGAGAATAGATGGGGGTGGGGCCAGTCAGAATTTTTACTACCAGTTCTCCGGACTACTCAAAATTTCCGCTACCGGTTCTCCAGAACTGGTCAGAACCTGCTGAAACCCACCTCTGGACCAAACCAATGAAACAGGAAAAAGACACAGAATTTTGCTCCAAACTTCCATGAATAAAAATATCTTCCTTGCTTGGATCTTTGGCCTCAGTATGGAACAGGGTCGCCTCAAGCTCTTTCCTTCAACTGGAAAGTCATCCGTGGGGAGGAGCTTGATGGGGGTCAGGTTATCTCCAAGGGCATTGACTCACCGTACCTTTTTCTGGTGTACTTTACCTTCTATTTCTTCTTTGGAGATAAATCCGGACAGCACTAGGAAAAAAGAGCAAGATAGGGAAAGAGATATATTATGATTATTCTCTTACTTAGAAGAAAATCGGAAAGGGGTAAAGAGATCTTAACAGAATTGGATCCAAACTGCATTCCTGGACTTGTTCTTTTAGAATGTAGGCTGATTCCCGAGGGAGGGGTCAAGCAAGTCATTAGCCTCGAGTCCCTTCATGCCCATGAGGGATCTACTGAGCGACTAAATCTCACCTTCAGAGCTCAGCAGGAAGTCAGTATTGTCAGTCCCGTATTCATTCTGGATGGTACACTGGTACACCCCACAATCCTTCAGGGACATCTGCACAATAGCCAGAGCTGCCTGTCCTTCATCTCCAGAGCTGAAAGATATGAAAACTAGAATACACACTGCAGGAGTGACTAACCAGATGCTTCAAAATTTTCATCGGAAAAAAAAATTAAAGAAATGAAGCTGGGCCTAATCCAATTTATGGGGGCCGTGGTGAGAGACTATTTTGTGGAACACAACCATCGGGACGGGTGCAGGGGTGGGCGTGGCCATGGTGGGCATGGCCTAGTCGGCTCCTGCACCACAGGGGGAGGGGGGGTTGCCCTCCCCGGGCTCCAGAGGCTTTTCTCAAGCCTCCAGGAGGGCAAAAACAGCTTCCCCAGGCTCCAGAGGCCCTCTGGAGGCAGGAAATAGGCCTTCTTGAACTTCCGATAGGCCCGTTTTTTGCCCTCCTTGAGCCTCCGTGAGTACCCTGCACTTACCGGCATCCAAAACAGGCCACGTGGGGACTCCTGGGAGGGGAGGGGCGGGGTGGGCGAGGCCAGTTAGGAGTGGGATTTGGGAGTTCTCCAAGCTGTACAGAATCTTAGCTAGAGGTTCTCCCGAACCCCTACGAACCCCCAGCAGCCCATCCCTGGCCAGGTGCAACTAGCTTCTCACCAGGCTGAGTGAGGCAAGGGGTGGGAATTGGTAGAAGCACCTTGACAGAGAGAATAGCAGTGACACTGGTGGGGGGCTCCTAGCTGCAATGGTTATTTCCTCTTCTCCACCATTTGGTAGGTAAGTAGGAGATAAGTAGCAAGGAGAGTTTTTAGGGCTCCTTTCTGAGGATCAAAAAGCTAGAAGACAAAATGGAGCTACCATAACCTCTGTAAATCCAAAGTGGACCTTTCCAAGTTCTCAGGAGGAAGAGCACTACTGCCCTCCTAAACTAGGGATGATGGACAATGTGGGGCCTCAAAGCCATCCTCTGGCTTGCGAAAACCACCTTCAACCATGGCTTCCTATCCTTCTGAGATGAGGAAACATTCGAAAGACACAGTCTAACTCCAAAATAAGTTCAACATTGTTAAGAAAAGGAGATCCTGTCCCTATTTCCATTTCATCACTGGCCTCATTTGCTCCTGGTCCTTCAAAAGATTGTCCAACCCTTTCAGAAACAAACAAGAAAAGGAGCTTAAAAAAAAAACAATCGACAACATCCTATTGAAGTTGGGCATTATATATGTATGGCATATAAATATTTTATTATATCAAAACTCCTGCAGGCTTTGAAAAAAAAATCTGGCTTTCAGGAAATGGTAATTGGCTTGTGGTTGACACTTTCTTCCCTGGAATTACTGTTAGGGCAAAAGGCTAACAAAATAAAAATAGATTGTGAATCAAGGTAACTTTCTGGTTGAATTCAGTAAGCTAATAGCTCTCTCCAATTTGCTACCTGCCAGAGGTGTGGGATTTAACTCCCAGAATTCTTAACAAGCATGATCTGCTGATGGCTGGGAATTATGGGGGATGAAATCCATCCCTAATCTATTTAGAATGTTGGAGAAGGACTGAAGATAGGAGTTAGGGGTGTGGTGGGAAACCTAAGACAAGGCAAGAATTATGCGGGAGACACTGCTCAGACCATCACATTTCTACTGCAGCCCACTGGAGATGTTTCCACAAGGCTCACCTTCTTTTGACCTCTGCTATGGGCACCTCATCTTTGTACCAGATAAGCTTGGAGTCACTCAAGATATTGAAGAACTGACACCATAGCTTCAAGTTCCCAGAGGCATCCGAGAACTGTTCTGCTCGGATCTTGCGAACGACTTGTGGTGCTAAGAAAAGATGACAGATTAGAGCAGTCAATTCTCAAAAGTCCACCAAATGTGAGGTTGGGATTAAATGAGTTGCAAGTCCTCAACTCGCTTGGCTTTGAAAAGAACATTTTGGATTCTAAAATATACATCCATATTGTGTGTGAACAGAGTTGGTTCTGGGTATCATTCATATTAAGCCAATTCTCAATAACAGTACTAGTAATCTCTATCACATTTATCAAATTTAAGTAATCCTCATTATATTGTTCAAACATATATAAGCAAGAAATGCCTTAACTCCTCAGCTTTGTCTCTATCTTCATCTATGTCTTTCTTGTTCAATCTGAACATTTCTCTATTATACTGTATATGAACAAATTTGGCTAGGTATTATTCATGTTGATCCAATTCATGCTAACATGGTTAGTGATGCACCGACTCCAGAGCCTCCAGAGGCGGATAGCAGAGAGGCAGAGGAACAGGAGGAGCCTGTTCCTAGTGCACGCATGCAAAGAGCTGCCAGAAGGCAAGAGCAGCTAAAGCAAAAAGGACGACTCGGGAGTAAGGCCAGCAGATAATTGGCCCCTCCCAGAAGGCTTAAAAGAGCAGCAACGGCTCTTGGGATCTTTGTAGGAAACCAACGTTGCTACATTTGTTTCTTGTCGGTATCTCTTGTTTCTGAACTTTGTGGGGTTTTGCCAAGAAAAGCCTTTGGCAGGGTGCCAAAGAAGACAAAGGTTGGTGATAAGACCGAAGGACTGTTTATGAAGGACTTGTTTTGGAATTAATTTGGACTAAGATGAGAATGAACTAATTCTCAGCTGTTCTAATAAAATAGGTTTGTTTAGGACTGATTGTGTCTGGTAATAATTACTTGGGCCTAAATCACGACAGGTAGGTGAAAATCACCACTGCTCAGAACAGTCACCAAGGTCTGACTCTCCCAGAAAGAGGTATGCACACCTACCTTTAAATGGATCGTTGGTTTTCCTAGATTCTCCCACCTTGGGCCCACTTTCTTCTACACTCTCCGGAGCCAACGGGGAGCAGCTGTCATCCTCCTTCTGGCTTTCTTCCGCCGTCTCCTGATACATCTTGGGAACTTCCAGAGTCGCCATCTTCCTGGCCAAGTTCGGGGAGCGCTTCTCCACAGGAGGAGATCCCGGGGCCGAGGTCTGCAAGAGAGCCTGGCTCTTACGGCCCTGCTGTGGAGATACACTGGGACTGTCTCTTTTGGGCCACGGCTGGCCCTCCAGGGCCCCTTCTTCCATCTCATCAGCTGTCTTGGTTTTGGGGAGAAAGATCTTCCGACGGGCTCCAGATGCTAGCTCCTCAGGTGTGGCACTTGGCAGAGCTGCTGGGGTCTCACTAACCGACTCGGAAGAAGGGAGATGGGGGAGACCTGCTGGTTCACTTCCAATGCCCCCTACCACAATTGAGGGAACACAAGGTAAAGGAGGTATCTCCAGTTCAACATTTAGGTTCTTCTGGCAAGCAAGCAGTTCTTGGTTGATCATTCCTGTGAGTTTCCGAGAAGTTTTGGGAGTCAATTGCAAGTTCTCAGCACTTTGGAAAAGTTGATCGGTCTCCACCTGTTCGAAGATCTTCCTGGAAGTCCTGGGAGTTAATCCCGCAATGCCCACATCTGGCAGATGTTTTGGAATAGCGCTCAGTGGAGTCTTCTCCTCCATCATCTTGGCTTCTTGCTTGGGGCTTCTTGCTTTGCTTTTGTCTGACTCAGAGGTGATCTTCAAGAGCAAAAGCAAATAATTTTTCAAAGAAGACACAAGGTCGTTGTTCTGGTCTTTCTCCGGGGTTCGAGTCTCCTCCACTACAACCTCAGGAGGACGAGAATTCTCTCTTGAAAGAATATCAGGAGCCATTGTGTCCTTTTCCTTATCTCTAACCTCCGTCTTCTTGGTGTACGTTTTAGACTCTTGCTTCTCTTTTTTACTCCTTGGAGGAACCAGGAATTCTTTCTGCACACAGATCTCCTTGGTGACTTGCTGGTCTGGTTCTTCTGAAGCCACCATTTTACTAGGTTCCCGAGATTCCGTTTCTCTCTTAATATCTTTTAGCAAGTGGGCTACGGATTGGTTGCTCTCAACAACGTCTCCTTTGATTGGAGAAAGCAGAGCTGGTTCTTGGGAATCATGAAGCACGGAAGGGATCGTCACGGCTGAAGCTGGAGGAGGACTTTCTGAAACCACTTGAGAAAGATCTGGGGTTGTGGTGGCAACTTCTGAGATCAGTTGTGACTTCTTTATTGCTTCAGATGATCTCTTCCTCTCAGGAACGAAAGGCATTTGGGGGCTGGGTGTATTGTCTCTCAATAACTTAGGGGCTTCTCCTTGTTGTTCTTTTTCTCCTCTTGTGCCTTCGGTCCAAGGAGCAACTTGGTCCAACTCATCCATGGGACTTCCCTGAAAATGGGTTTCTTGGGCTGCTAATGCAGGAGTAATTGGCTGTTTACTCTCACGATTAGGAGGTAGTCCATGTCGGATTTCATCCTGGCCCCAATCTGGAGAATATTTCTCCATATCTTCCTTCTGAACCCGATTGTCCATCCCATTTGGAAATGGGACACCAGAAGAAATGCCTGAGATATTCTGAGAAGTCACCGGACGATTCTGGAAAATTGCTGGCTGGTGATCTTCCAGGAGTCGCATTCCCATCCTTGAGTCCTGGATGCCTGGGCTGGAACCAGATTTCTTCTCCGACCACTTTATTCCTAAATCTTCCAGGATATCTTTCCTTTCTTCCCCAAACCTGGAATTTGGGGACTGCAAACCAGAGTTCACGGACAAGCTTGGCTGTGAGTTTTCGGAACCCTGCAAGGAATAGAATAGTCATTATTTCAAAAACCAGGAATCAAGACCAGCAAACCTTCCTCCCTCTTTCAATTCTGCATTTGAAATTTTTTTTGCATTTGCCACCTCTTTTCTCCTCTCCAATCCCTTCCTCACTTTTGATACCCCTCTGGATTGCGTCATAGCAGAGTGTTTTGCTTGTATCATTATCAAAAATTGTCTTTTCCTTCTTCTCAACTGTTCTTTGAAATGCTACGCATTTTTAATTTAATTCTTAGATGTCAGTTGCCCTTGGGAGAAAGCCAACCTCAGAAATAATTTGGATCTTGGTACATTCAGGTATGTATGTATCATACATATGTATGTATGTATGTATGTATGTATGTATGTATGTATGTATGAAAGGGACGTAGTGGCTCAGTGGCTAAGATGCTGAGCTTGTCGATGGAAAGGTCGGCAGTTCAGCGGTTCGAATCCCTAGTGCCGCATAACGGAGTGAGCTCCCGTGTCTTGTCCCAGCTTCTGCCAACCTAGCAGTTCGAAAGCAGGTAAAAATGCAAGTAGAAAAATAGGGACCACCTTTGGTGGGAAGGGAACAGTATTCCGTGTGCCTTTGGTGTTTAGTCATGTCGGCCACATGACCACGGAGACGTCTTCGGACAGCGCTGGCTCTTCGGCTTTGAAACGGAGATGAGCACCGCCCCCTAGAGTCAGGAACAACTAGCACATATGTGCAAAGGGAACCTTTACCTTTACCTGTTCTGCCCCAGCTATGGACCCCAAAGAACGCAGCACTACACCAGCCTCCTCGCTGTCAGAATCAGCTACTAACTGCACAGGCCGCTGACTGGCCACAACATTACCTTACATTCAGGTGTTGGGAGCAGAGTAAACTCCATTCTGCACCAGAAACAGAAATTATGTTTTCCCTCTCCAAGTTCAGTGAGGAACAGATTGCTTTCCCCAAAGTCCTTTAATAACCTTTTTCTCTTTAACATTTGGTTCCAAGAACCCAAATTAACCTTGCTGACAACTCTTAAGCTGATGGACGGATCAAGAACAAGCAAGCCATGACATCCAAGCCCTCCGTTGAGCACATGGCTTAGAAGCAGCCATGAAGACTTGGCTTACACAAAGCACACTCACACAAAGCACACTCACAAGGCCCTGCATTAATCCTTATTTTTCTCGTTTGCACAATATATTTTAATGGTAAACTGACCAGCTGGGTTTGACCAACCCGCTATGCCCTCGAAGAACTAACCCAGGTTAAAACTAAGCCCAGTTTTATTGAATAAATGCATGAATAAAGCCGCCAAGCTTTTAACTGGGGTTGGTGCAAATCTCAGTTAAAGGTACAAGGTCATTGCAATTTAAGTATCTTGACAATTTTGCACTTTAGCTGCTGGTTAGAACATCCTCACAAATCAGCAATATATATTATTCGGCAACTGAATCAGTTGGAAACTTGCCAAACTGTGCAGCATTCTACCTCCTCCGCAGTTTCTCTATTATTAAAAAATCCTTTTCTCTTCCAATGAAAGGCATCCAATGACTTTGGGGCAGGGGTGAAATCCAGCAGGTTCTGACAGGTTCTAGAGAACCAGCAGCAGAAATTTTGAGTAGTTCAGAGTAAATACCACCTCTCGCTGGCCCCAGAGTGGGTTGGGAATGGAGATTTTGCAATATCCTTCCCCCAGAAGTGGGGAGGGAATGGGGATTTTGCAGTATCCTTCCCCTGGAGTGGGGAGGGAATGGAGATTTTGCAGTATCCTTCCCCTGCCACACCCACCAAGCCACACCCACAGAACCGGTAGTAAAAAAAATTGGATTTCACCACTGCTTTGGGGCATCTTTGGCTGCTCGCGCAGTTCTTTGTGCATCGACTCAGGAATGAGTATCACAACGTATAATGTAACTAGGACTAACCCCTTTAATAGGAGACTTTTGTTTTGTGTGTTTTAAGCCTAGCTGGTTAAAAAAAAATAGGCTAACTTGGCTTATTTGGTTAGAAAAGGAAGAACAACTACTTCGATAAAAAGACTAGAAACCCTTTATGGGCTTTTTGCTGGAAACGGACAAAAATGTCCGAAGCCTGGAATTAGCTCCCCCTTCCATGGTTATGCCTGTTCCCATTCTTAGCTTCAGGTCTTCATCAAAGGCTGAAGCTCTCCTGCATCTCCTAAAATGGTGACAGGCCAGACAAATTCCAAAGAGACTGCAGTCCAATCATCAGCACACACCCAGGTGCTGAAAGCTGCTTGAAGAGAGCGATAAGAAGAAGGAAGTCAACGGAATAGTCCCTCCACAGGGTAAGGGGCTCCTGCTCACATACCACTCTACCTAAGCAAACTGCTCCTGGGCAAGAGGGAGGGTGACGTCCTTATAAGATTAATTATCCATTTTAATTAGTGTGTTTCCATACAATAGAAGTGTTAAAAAGTTAAAGGAAAATAAGGAAAAAGAATAATAAGAAAGAAGGGAAGGGAAGGGAAGAGGAAAGGGAAGGGAAGTAAAGGGAGGAGGGAAGGGGGAAGAGGGAAAGAAAAAGAAAGGAAGAGGAAAGGGAAAGGAAAGGAAGGGAAGATGGAAGGGAAGGAAGAGGGGAGGGGAGGGGGAGGGAAGGAAAGGAGGGGAGGGGAGGGGAGGGGAAGGGGAAAGGGAAGGAAAGGAAAGGAAAGGAAAGGAAAGGAAAGGAAAGGAAAGGAAAGGAGGGAGGGGAAGGAAATGGAAAGGAAAGGAGGGGAGGGGAGGGGAGGGGAAAGGAAGGGAGGGGAGGGGAGGGGAAACGAAGGGTTAGGGTTAGGGATGGAATGGAATAGAATAGAATAAGAATGGGATGGGATGGGATGGGACAGGACAGGATGGGACGGGACGGGACGGGACGGGACGGAACGGAACGGAACGGAACGGAACGGAACGGAACAGAACAGAACAGAACAGAACAGAATAACAGAGTTGGGTGGGATCTTGGAGATCTTCTAGTCCAACCCCCCGCTCAGGCAGGAAACTCTACGCCACTTCAGACAAATGGTTATCCAATCTCTTCTTAAAAGCTTCCTGTGTTGGAGCATTCACAGCTTCTGGAGGCAAGTTGTTCCACTGATTAATTCTTCTACATGTTCATTGTCCCTTGCTCTCAAGTAAGTAGATTAAAGCACTGTCAGGAAATTTCTCCTTAGTTCTAAGTTGCTTCTCTCCTTGATGAGTTTCCACCCGTTGCTTCTTGTCCTGCCTTCAGGTGCTTTGGAGAATAGCTTGACTCCCTCTTCTTTGGGGCAGCCCCTCAAATATCAGAACACTGCTATCATGTCCCCCCAGGTCCTTCTTTTCATCAAACTGGACAAACCCAATTCCAGCAACCATTCCTCCTATGTTTTAGCCTCCAGTCCCCTAACCATCTTTGTTGCTTTTCTCTGCACTCTTTCTAGACTCTCCACATCTTTTTTTTACATCGTGGCAACCAAAACTGAATGCAAGATTCCAAGTGTGGCCTTACCAAGGCTTTATAAAGCAGTCTTAACCCTTCACGTGATCTTGATTCTATCCCTCTGTTGATGCAGGGATTCACTCAACCACTGTGGCCAGAAAAGTCGTAAAATCGAGCAAAACTCAACTGAACCAATGTCTCATTTAGCAACCGAAGCATTGGGCTCGGCTGTGGCCGTAAGTTGAGGACTACCTGTAGTCAATGGAGAAGGGTTTTTTTACTTGCCTCATCTCCTTTTTCTTGGTTTAAAGAAGTTTGGGACCCAATTCTGGAACTGAAAACAAAGGACATTCCAAAGCCAGACATCTACTCAATTGGCCTCGAACAGATGAGTCAATTATCTAACTCAGGACAAACAACAGCATCTGTTCACATTCCAGAGGTCTGCCAACCACACACACACACACCGTGGAAATCTGGAGTTCCCCAGGAAGGAAATCCTGCATCTTGTAGAAACACGAGACAAGCCTCCTTCTGCAGCTTCAGCCTTCCACCTCCAAAAGTAGCCCACCTACACGCCTCCCACTCCTCCTCCGGCAGGTTGCTTGACATACCACGAAGGCCCACCTACGCACACATTCCATGCCTTGGTTAAGCTCTTTGGATGCCTAGACAGTCAGGAGCGTGAACCTTGCCCCGTGAGACCCCGAGTTAGGAAACTCCAGAGTGACTAATGCATGCACAGCCACCCACCCGCCCCTTCTTCCCTACGGGCAGAATCGCATGGAAAAAACGTGCATCAAAGCGATGGAAATAGATGCTGGGTGAAGCAGGCTGATGAGTGTCAGAGACAGCTGGGGCTGGGCTGGCAGGCACGGTGAACATGCTGGTTGAGAAGTCAAGAGTACAGCTTTTGAGTGCTGACTCCGCTGCACACCAGAACAACTAGACAAGGGGTTAGCAACCTTAAACACTCAAAGAGCCACAAAGGTCCTAACAAGAAGCCCCCCTTCAATTCTGGAGCTGACCGGAAGTCCTGTTCCCCCATCATAGTCTCCTCCTAGCGTGGCATCCTTTTTCCTCTGCTGACCGGAAGTCCGGTTCCCCCACCATAGTCTCCTCCTAGCACAGTGTCGTTTTTCTTCTACCTGTCCTAACCGAAAGCCTTATCAATTGTGGAGCCAACCAGCAACAAGGAGCCGCAACAGAGGGATGAAAGAGCCACATGCGGCTCCAGAGCCACAGGTTGCTGACCTCTGAACTAGACACAAGGACAGTTTTTTCCAAAGGGCATTACTCTGTTGAAGAAATAATTCCCTCAACACTGTCAAACTTCACTAAGTCTGCATTACTATTAATCTTCTCATTTGTCCTATCACCCATCTCCTCCCACTTACGAGTGTATGACTGTAACTTGTTGCTGTAGCCTTACGATTTATATTGATTGTTTCCTAGTAGGATTCGATTGCTTATTTGTACCCTATGACTATCATTAAGTGTTGTACCTTATGATGCTTGACGAATGTATCTTGTCTTTTTATGTACACTGAGAGCATATGCACCAAGACAAATTCCTTGTGTGTCCAATCAACTTGGCCAATAAATTCTATTCTATTCTATTCTATTCTATTCTATTCTATTCTATTCTATTTCTATTCTATTCTAATTCTATATCCTTACAATTTATACTGTTTCCTAATATGATTCGATTGCTTATTTGTACCCTATGACTATCACTAAGTGTTGTACCTTATGATTCTTGACGAATGTATCTTGTCTTTTTATGTACACTGAGAGCATATGCACCAAAGACAAATTCCTTGTGTGTCCAATCAACTTGGCCAATAAATTCTATTCTATTCTATTCTATTCTATTCTATTCTATTCTATTCTATTCTATTCTATTCTAATTCTATATCCTTACAATTTATACTGTTTCCTAATATGATTCGATTGCTTATTTGTACCCTATGACTATCACTAGTGTTGTACCTTATGATTCTTGACGAATGTATCTTGTCTTTTTATGTACACTGAGAGCACATGCACCAAAGACAAATTCCTTGTGTGTCCAATCAACTTGGCCAATAAATTCTATTCTATTCTATTCTATTTATTCTATTCTATTCTATTCTATTCTATTCTATTCTATTCTATTCTAATTCTATATCCTTACAATTTATACTGTTTCCTAATATGATTCGATTGCTTATTTGTACCCTATGACTATCACTAAGTGTTGTACCTTATGATTCTTGACGAATGTATCTTGTCTTTTTATGTACACTGAGAGCATATGCACCAAAGACAAATTCCTTGTGTGTCCAATCACACTTGGCCAATAAAAAATTCTAACCTAATCCAATCTTCTAATACCGGCCCACATGCACACCAAAGCTGGCCTTCGCCCTCTCTCTATGCCTGTACTTGGTCCGTCTGGTTGCCAGGCTACGGAAGAACCGAGGAAGCCAGCTACCTATTCTGGTTGCTTCAAAGCCAGGGATCAGTCCTGGCCTTCCAGGAGACCACTCACTCTCATCTTTCCCTGGCCTGCCAGCTCCTGCATGTCCCTGCTATAAATAGCGGGCAGGACTCGGGCAGTTGCTGTAGAGCTGGTTGGCAAGCATTTTGCATGAGGTCAGCCTCACCCAAGAAGAAAAATAGAACTTACAGTACCTCAGAAGGCCCTGGATCAGGCAACTGTTTCTCCTCCAAGGCTACTGGGGTAAGGGCTTCACTCCCTTCCTGCAAAGACCGGGGCCAATCCACAGGTCCAGCCTCTGGGAGCTGCAAGTCCGGCTCGGCTTCAGGGAGAGCAGAGTCCAGCAAGTCCGTTTCACGGATGAGAAGGACTTCTCCTTCTTCGTTCTCCTTTTCAAAGAGAGGTGGTCTTGCAACTCTTGGCGGACCAGCTTGGCCTGGCTGCAGAACATCTCTGTCCGGGGCACTGCTTCTTGGACATTCCATCTTAGGTCCCATCAGGATCTCTGTCGTGGGCTCCGCTGCCCGCCTGGGATGATGGAATTGCTGGAGATTCGATTCCCTGTCCGTCCCAGGGGCTTCCGTTTTGCCATGCTTTGTCTCCACTCCCCGAGATTTTTGCCTGGCTAGGGTTTCATTTCTTTCTTCTTCTGCCTTGGCCCTTTTCAAAGTTGTCGGAAGAGCGTCCACGTTGGAAAGGTCTCTGGTCGGAAGAGTCTTCTCCATAGCCTTCGCCTTACTTTCCGGCACCTTCTTCTTCTCCGCTTTAGGCTTTGCTCCGGCGTCATAATACATCTCTTTCAACGAAAAATGCATCTCGGGTTTGGAAGGGGAGGAATGCAGCGGGGATTTTTCTTGGGGTTGGGTTTCCACTGGCCTTCCGTTGACTATAGGAGATGCGACTTTTGGGGATGACACAGCCTCCTTTTGCATGGAGACCTTTCTCCTTGGTTGCATGCCATCGTCCAGTTGGGAAACACCTTGGCTTGCATTTGGTGGAGCTGCCTTATCTTCCTCTTTCTTTTTCTTCTTCGCTGAATATTCCTTGGGCACAATCCCCGCCGTCTCGTAAATATATTGAAGAAAACCGTTGTCGTTCCTCTCTCCATTTTCCTCCCCGCTCTCCAGAGAAGAGTCCCCGTTGGTGGTGGCTCCTTCCGTTTCCAGATGTCCTGCTATGAAGTCATTGGGGAACAGGGCGGGGCCGATCAGAGAGGCCTCTCTGTTCTTGGCCTTCTCGTCTTCACCAAAACAGGCCTTTCCATCTGGGATCCGCACCTTGGCCGCTTCCTCCGTGTCCCAGAGAGAGGAGCCCGAACGCATCCCCACATCCCCCGTCAACCGTCTCTTCCTCTGGAATCTGTCTGGGCTGACTCGTCTCAGCTGTTCCATCTCCACGTTCTCCTTCCCTCGCTTCCTGCTCTGCTCGATCTCATACAGCTTGGCTTCGGCATTCCTCTTGAGCTTGGCAAACCACCGTTGGTGAATTTTGTACTCTGTCATGGTTCCAACCTCCAGAACCCCAGAACACGACACAATGCCCTTGTTGTTTCTTGCCGAAGCCTGGTAAATAGCTGCATCTTCCTCTTGACACCTGTGAGTAAAAAAGAAACACCAACCGTGAGAGAACTCTGGACACAGAGAGTTGAATTTGCTATGAGTAATGAACAATGAAGGGGATGAGAGAACAAGGTGGTTGGATGGAGTCACCGAAGCACTCAACGTGAGCTTAAATGGACTCCGGAGGATGGTGGAGGGCAGGAAGGCCTGGAGGAGCGTTGTCCATGGGGTTGCGATGGGTCGGACACAACTTTGCAACAACAACAAATGAACAACCTTCTTTTTCTTGATGCTCTCCAGCAATATCAGGGTTCAGTTCCCAGAACCTCTCAATTAGAATGGCCATAACTGAGGGAGTCTGGACTCTGAAAGGGAACAGCAATGTTCCACATATCTCTAGAGGAGGGGTCTCCAACCTTGGCAACTTTAAGCCTGGAGGACTTCAACTCCCAGAATTCCCCACCCAGCTGGCTGGCTGGGGAATTCTGGGAGTTGAAGTCCTCTAGGCTTAAAGTTGCCAAGGTTGGAGACCCCTGCTCTAGAGCAATAGATCATGAAAATAGATTATGAGCCACCTTCTCGTTTTGTACAAAGATGCTTTTTGGCTTTCCAGAGCACCCCCTCCAACCTGGCCAGGGGACAAGAAATTAGGCTGCTAAATCCGCATGGCTTGCAAGGACGCCTTTCTTAGAATAACTGGAATCGTCTGCTTGTTTGTAACAGGGCATTTGACCTTGTGCTTAGGAAACGGTAGACGTTTGGACAGATGGTCTACGAACGATATCATTCTGGGCTTAACTGAACAATACTGCAGGCTTTTCCTCTCCTCTCCCCAGAGACAGCTGGTGAATGGGGGTCACCAGGGGTGGGTTCTAATTTTTTTTACTACCGGTTCTGTGGGCGTGGCTTATTTTGTGGGCGTGGCTTGATGGTCATGTGACAATTATTTAGGATTTAGCAGAGGTATTGGTCTACCAGGGTTTTAACTGCTTGCAGAGCTGTACCAATCTACCCATTTATTTTTGCAGGCACTGATCTACTCATGTATTTTTGCAGGCACTGGTCTACTCATGTATTTTTGCAGGCACTGGTCTACCCATTTATTTTTGTAGGCACTGATCTACTCATGTATTTTTGTAGGCACTGATCTAATCATGTATTTTGTAGGCACTGGTCTACCCGTTTATTTTTGCAGGCACTGATCTACTCATGTATTTTTGCAGGCACTGATCTACTCATGTATTTTTGCAGGCACTGGTCTACCCATTTATTTTTGCAGGCACTGGTCTACCCATTTATTTTTGCAGGCACTGGTCTACCCATTTATTTTTGCAGGCACTGGTCTACCCATTTGTTTTCTTTTAACACTGATCAGCCTCGTGGCAAGAGTTTAAACAATTTTTTTCCCTGTAGCAGATCAGCTGGGACTCAGGAGCCAGCAATAGATTGGGGGTGGGGCCAAATAAAAGGTAAGATATATCGTCACTGCTACCGGCTCATCAGAACTGGGCCGAATCGGGAGGAACCCACCACTGGGTGTCACCCAAGGCATAGACGCTCTCCTCCTTCCTTACTTGTATAACTGCAAGGTGTGTCTGTTCCCATGTCGCAAAATCTCATATTTCGGCAATCCACAGTATCGATCCATCTCTTCATTATCTTTGTACCAGGTCACCTCTGGCGCTGGGTATCCTGATTAGGACATTACACATTAGCAGAATCAAGGAGCATTCGTGCTGGAGAAACATGATCTCGTTCCAAAACAAACATGGAAACCACAGCCTTTTGCCTGCGAGGCCAGCTTAAACAAGTTATCCCTTTTTTCTGTATTGACTTTGGACACAACAGGAAGGTCAATTTGGTTTGGGGGGGAGGAGGAAAAAAAACAAGGAATGTTGAAAAGTGATACCTCCGGTCCAGCCACCGAAAGGGAGATCCGAATCGAATAAGCGTGCTGAGAATAATGGCGAGAAACTGTTGAATAACCTTCTCCAATATGATGTCTCCCGAATGCAGGCGTCCATGCCTATTGACAAAGCCTTTTCCCAGAATTGCTAGCTAGGAATTCTGGGAATTGGAATTTCAACACATTAGATATACACCAAGATTTTTTTTTAAAAAAGGTAACGGACTCCCTGTGGATTTTACTCCGCTAGTTGTTGCCGACTATTGGGAACCGAGGTTCATCTCTGTTTCAAGGCCATTGAGCCAGCGCTGTCCAAAGACATTTCTGCGGTGGTGTGGCCAGTATGACGTAAGGGAACACTGCAGGGGTGGGTTCTACTTACCTTTACTACTGTTTCGCATTGCACACATGCACGCATGCTCCCTTCGCGTGTGCAGAAGCTTCTGCGCATGCACAGATCACACCGGTTTTACTACCGGTTCTTGCGAACCTGTCCGAACCGGGGGCAACCCACCACTGGAACACTGTCACCTTTCCACTGAAGTGGTACCTATTTATCTATTCGCATTTGCATGCTTTCGAACTGCTAGTTTGGCAGGAGCCGGAGCGAAGACGGGAGCTCACCCCCATCACATGGTGTTCAGGTCTTGAACCTGGGCAGGTAGCTTTCCAGCCAACAAGCCCAGTGTCTTAACTGCTGAGCTACCATACTACTGTCCTTTATACACAAAGATAGGCTGCTCTGAAGAATTATTGGATAAAAATACATACTGTACATGGTTAGAAAAAAACGTTAAAACTGCATATAGTTTAGAAGGAAGGAAGGAAGGAAGGAAGGAAGGAAGGAAGGAAGGAAGGAAGGAAGGAAGGAAGGAAGGAAGGAAGGTCTCCAAAACCAGGTTTACCAACCAAAGTTAAGAGGGATTTCACTAAGATGGACTTTTCCTGTACTTCGAATACTGCACTATCAATTTTCGTTAAAACTAAATGTCAAAGTGGTTTGTGCAAACCTTACAAACAACTTCAGTGAAATAGAAAACTAACTTTTAAAAGGAGCAAAATCACAAAATTGCAATTAATTCGTATCAACAATTAGGGTGAGGACAAAAAGTTCAAGGAAAAGTTTGAACCCTTGCATTTTTAATTTTTTGGCAAAGCGATGGCCAACATTGGGAATGCATCTAATGCACTTGGGTTAGTTTATTCTCAGTGCACGCTCAATCAGCACTGAGATCAAGTCTCCTGTGTGAACACAGCTGCAGAAGGACTTCGCCTGATGCAACGATAACCCATGAAAGTTAGTCTCCTTCATTCAAACCAGGAAGAGAAGTTGCCAATTTCACATTCCTTGGAGGAAAAAAAAAAAAAACCACCTGTTTCCAAACAGGACTTGTAGAGCAGTAGAATCAGGTGATCGTTCCTTCTCACCCTCAACATAGGCAGGAGATGAGAACATCTCCACCATTCTAGGAAGTGAGACCGCTTTGGTGGATTTAAATCCGAGGTTAAAAAACAAACACTTGGTGGAAGGCCAGTCTCTCCATAGAGAGCCACACGTCACAGCCTGTAAACTGAACCCAAAGTTTCCATTGGGCCAAAGCAACAAGGGTTGCATCATAGCCCTCTTGTGTCCTTTAAGTGCCTTTGGTCAGCAGATGCCTTTTCAGGACAATGATATCATACCATCTGCATGACTGCTTGCGCCTGAGCCAAAAGGGGTCCTGTGTGCTCTATGCCTAGAGGGCCAAGCTCAAGGGAGGGGTTGCCTAGCTCAAGAACTGTCTTCTCCAAGCAAAATTAAAAAGGATCCACCTCCCATTGTGGTCCAGCTTGCACCAACTGAGGCTTCAGGTGGGAAGAGAAGTCCATCTCTGAAAAGCATGAGCCTACATGAGTTGCATTAACAGAGGGATGCAATCAGGATCAAGGGAGGTACTAATACCAACTCTATAAAGCCTTAGTAAGGCCACAGCTGGAGTACTGCATCCAGTTTTGGTCACCACCCTATAAAAAAAGATGTTGAGGCTCTAGAAAAAAGTGCAGAGAAGAGCAACCAGGATGATTAGGGGACTGGAGGCTAAAACATACGATGAACAGTTGCAGGAACTGGGCATGGCTAGCAGTGGTGGGTTTCTACTGGTCCATACCGGTTCAGGTGAACCTCTCTGCAGATGGAGATGGAGATAGAAGTGGAGATAAAGGTGGACATGGGGATGGAGGTAGAGGTGGAGATAGAAGTGGAGATGGAGATAGAAGTGGAGATGGAGGTGGGGATGGAGGTGGAGATGGGGATGGAGGTGGAGATGGAGGTGGGGATGGAGGTGGAGATGGAGATGGAGATAGAAGTGGAGATGGAGATAGAAGTGAAGATGGAAATAGAAGTGGAGATGGAGGTGGAGATAGAAGTGGGGATGGAGATGGAGATGGAAGTGGAGATGGAGACTGTCCTACCAATAGTTCTCCACCTAGGGCAGATCAAACCCAGAACGTCTTACATGAAAGACACAAAGCTCCATTCCTGACTTCTGCCCTCATCCCCAAATCCAAAGAATGGGGGCAGAATTAAATTCACCAGCTCTTCCAGGCACGGATCTGGGACATGAGTCCTTGTGATGCACTGCTTTCTGCACCACCCATCTCGTCCCTTAGACATCAGTGGCCGCTGACCCATCACAATAAGGAGGCTACCGAAAGCAGCCTGAAGCTGGAGGAAGGAGACGTGCCAGCTGGTTTGCCATCCGTACCTTTTCAGCGATTATGCTGGCCAAAGATCAGAGGAGTGACGTGGTCCAAGAGAATGAAATAGGATCTGGCTTGCTCTCACTCTGCTCCAGATTCGTTATCAAGAGGAGCTATCCAAGAACTTGATTAGTGTCTTTCCCAACAGGAGCTCCGGTTACCTATCCCAAGCCCAATACCACTAAGCACAGATGCTGTGAAGAGTAGGTGGCATCAGCAAGCAGCTTGTGTGTGGTTGAAATCCATCCAAAATCTATGGAGGTCTGCTCAAAAAATAGCTTGTTTGTACATTTTCATTTAGAAGTGAAGGAAGAGTCAAACTATTGTGATTGTGATCACCATAAATATATCACTGTCCTTGTCCATCGTTTCTCATTGTTTCACTGAAGGACGTCGGTAGGTAGAAAGAGTACAGAGAAAAGCAACAAAAGAGGATTAGGGGACTGGAGGTTAAAACATATGAAGAACGGTTGCAGGACCTGGGTATGTCTAGTTTGATGAAAAGAAGGACTAGGGGAGACATGAAAGCAGTCTTCCAATATCTCAGGGGCTGCCCCAAAGAAGAGGGAGTCAAGCTATTCTCCAAAGCACCTGAGGGCAGGACAAGAAGCAACGGGTGGAAACTAATCAAGGAGAGAAGCAACTTAGAACTAAGGAGAAATTTCCTGGCAGTTAGAACAATTAATAAGTGGAACAACTTGCCTCCAGAAGTTGCGAATGCTTCAACACTGGAAATTTTTAAGAAGATGTTGGATAACCATTTGTCTGAAGTGGTGTAGGGTTTCCTGCCTGGACAGGGGGTTGGACTAGAAGACCTCCAAGGTCCCTTCCAACTCTGTTATTCTATTCTATTCTAGGTCTACTAAATGGAAGTAAGAATGTCCTGCCTGAGTTGGACTAAAAAGCTACCAGGGCCCCTTTCCAACTCTGTGATTCTGAATTTTTTGAGGGAGAACTTCGCCTCCTATCCAAACGGAAGGGAATCCTGTTTATGAACAGGGTACCAAGACTATAACTTGTTGGGAAAAACGAGGGAGAGGTCAGACATGAATCCAGAAGGTGTTATTTTTACACGAGGATGGCCAGAGCGGAGAGCTTAAAAATATCAGCCACTGATCAAAGCAATGAGGGTGAAGACAGAGTTTCCAGTCCTCAGAAGAATGCTAGGACCAGGAAAAGGACAAGGAGAGAGCCCTGCTGAGGACATGAAGGAAGAAAGTTGCAACGGACCAGAGACACTTTGGAGTAAAACTGAATTAGGGACAGAGCAAATCAGGGTGAAATTCAGCAGGTTCTGACAGGTTCTGGAGAACCCGTGGCGGAAATTTTTGAGTAGTTCGGAGAAACGGCAAATAAGAGATGGAGGTGGGGATGGAGGTGGAGATGGAGATAGAAGTGGAGATGGAGGTGGGGATGGAGATGGAGATGGAGATAGAAGTGGAGATCCAGAGATCCGTTTTAAGGCGACTTAATTGACATGAAAGGAATAAAAACTGAACGGGCTCAGAACGTGTAAATTGGGCTGGTGGGAAGGGATCTCTTTAAAAGCTTTCTCCTAAGCCACACTGGACTTTTGAAGATCAAATCAAAAGCTTCAGCAGGCATAAATCTTATTATCACACGGTCTATGTCTATCCTAGGCACGACGGACAAGATGCAGAGAAACTCTTGATAATTCAAGGTGGGAGCAGAGGCTAAAATGTGAGCGAGAAAAGCCATGGAGGGGGCAGAATTTGGCAGACTGGGGAGTTCAAGATTAGGCCTTAACAATACACCTCGGGGTTGTCTTGGGATTCTATACCGTACAAGGCATATACGTATGTATGTATGTATGTATGTATGTATGTATGTATGTATGTATAAAAGGAGAAGTTCAAAGAACAAGAAGCAGATCCAGAAGAAGATGGAAAGACAACAGCAATGATACACTACAACAGCATCAAATGACAATTGTTGAGGCCACTAGAAGAGCAAGAACCAGAACTTTGTATGTCCCTTGACACCCGAAGTGGTGGAGGAGGAGGAGGAGGAAGAGGAGGAGGAAGAGGAGGAAGAGGAGGAGGAGAGAAGGAGGAGGAGGAGGAGGAGGAGAGGAGGAGGAGGAGAAGGAAAAGGAGAAGGAGGAGGAGGAGGAGGAGGAGGAAGAGGAGGAAGAGGAGGAGGAGAAGGAGGAGGAGGAGAAGGAGGAGGAGGAGGAGAAGGAGGAGGAGGAGAAGGAGGAGGAGAAGGAAAAGGAGAAGGAGGAGGAGGAGGAGGAGGAGGAGGAGGAGGAGGAGGAGGAGGAGAAGGAGGAGGAGGAGGAGGAGGAGGATGCAATTTTTAACAGTCCCTTTTCCTTAAAAAATGACAAGAAATGTACTATTATTTTTAGAATAGAAAAAAAACCTTATTGTCACTTCAAATGTACACTAATCAGCATACATTAAAATGAAAATTTTGTTGCATTCAGCTCTCAAAAGATAACCATTATGCCTATACCCACATGCACACACAAATCCTATCATCATATTTTCAGCCATCGTATCATCGGAGAGGTTCGGAAAGCCACAAACATCTGGTCTCAGAGGCAGCATGTTGGAGAAGGTAGGTAAATATCATTCTAAATATATGTATATATCGTGACATAACATCTGCCAGCTAGGATAGGTATCAGCCCTGTGGTAGTCCAAAGGAAGAATTCAACGCTTGCTCTTGAGAATATTCATGCAAATATTGAGTTGTGTCAACTCACCTATCACAATGCACGTGAATTTGGCATCGGCGTCCTTCGAAACAGCATAGGATTTGAGGGTTGTTTCAAAGACGGGCTGGGTCTCCTCGGTCAGCTGAGCAATGATGGCACAAAAAGTGCCCCTACAAGAATCAAAGGACCCCAATTAGAACTTGAGCAAGCCGGTTAAGGAAAACGTGAAGAGCCATCTTCTCTCCAGATGCTTCCATTGAGTACTCACACATTTCTAGTGGTTGGAAAATGCCTTTCCCCTCTCTTGGAAACCTTCTGGAGCAGGGGTCTCCAACCACTTTAAGACTTGTGGACTTCAACTCCAAGAATTCCTCAGCCAGCAAAGCCAAGGTTGGACACCCCAGTTCCGGAGAACTTAAGAGGCAAATAACTGCAATGAAGCAACTCCAAGTTCATTCCAGACGTGGACAGTTGAACAACTACATAAACATTGCAACAGACAAACTCATCCTGGTCACTCCACGGGACAGATGTTGCCAGTGGGCCCAGGAGCTGTAACATAGCACACACATCGAAAGAGGCAACTGGGGGCCAACATCGCCAATTAGGGTCTCTTGTCTTTAAAATTGATGCAGTTAGTTTGGTACTAACTTGGCATTGTTGGTCTCAAGAGAATCAAAAGAAACGGGGCTGGGCTTGTAAGCGAAATATTAGACACAGCCATGTGGAGGGTCCTACAAAATGGATCGGGAGAAAACCATCACTGGAGGTTTTTAAGAAGAGACTGGACAGCTATTTGCCCACAATGGTATATAGGGTCTCCAGTTTGAGCAGGGGGTTGGACTAGAAGACCTCCAAGGTCCCTTCCAACTTTGTTATTCTGTTAAATGTCCACATGGAGGACAAGGGCCTTAAAACTCCATTGGAATATTTTACTTGAAACAACACTTTGGAATATATATTATATTATATTATATTATATTATATTATATTATATTATATTATATTATATTATATTATATTATATTATATTATATTATATTATATTATATTATATTATTATAATATTATAGTATAATTAGTATAGTATAGTATAGTATAGTATAGTATAGTATAGTATAGTATAGTATAATATTATATTATATATACTATACTATACTATACTATATAGTATAGTATATACTATATATAGTATAGTATATACACCAGGAGCCTGGTGGTGCAGTGGACTAAACTACTGTTAAAGTAGTATTTAGCTGCCAGCTGCCTGCAATTATTATGAGTTCAATTCTCACCAGGCTCAAGGTTGACTCAGCCTTCCATCCTTCCGAGGTAGGTAAAATGAAGTAGGTAAAATGGGGGCAATAAGCTGACTTTGTATAAAATAGAACACCGCGGGGGGGGGCAGGCAAAAGCCCTACTAAGCAGGTATATACAAAAAGTATGAAGGCTATTGCTTAAAAGCATTGTAAGCTGCCCTGAGTCTCCGGAGAAGGGCGGCATATAAATCAAACTAATAAAATAAATCAAACTAATACTATACTACACTACACTACACTACACTACACTACACTACACTACACTACACTACACTACACTACACTATACTATACTATAGGAATTGTATTATATTCTATTCTATAGGAATATAGAATTTAGAATATTTTGCACTATAGAAGGCAGCAAAACCATAGAAAGTAGGATATTCAAGCTATTATCTTTTTAAAAAAAATAATAATAATATCAAAACTCTTTCTGGCCAAGGCTTGGTTTTGTCAATCAACACAGTAATAACCTTTTAAAAACTGCACTTGGGAAACTGAATGGGCCCCAGTAATTTGACGCTAGGAGATAGGAATCCTAAATATTTCTCAACCTTAAACTAGAGGACTAAACATGTGTTTTCAGGAGGAAAGAGACACATTGAAATTCTCCGAAGTCCCAATTCTTCATCCCGTATCTGGTTTCCACACAATGCAATGCGCACCGAAGTGGAAGATATGAATAGCACAGCCTTGGGGGGAAAAAAGGAAAAAGGAGATGCTTCCCATGTTATGTCTCCTTGTTCCTCTCTTTTTCCTGGTTTTAATCCCTGTTTTTTTTTTTTTTCCTCCACGCTTATAGCATGTTCTCTGGGAATTTGCAGCCTAAAGTTTGGTTTTGCGTTAATACAAAGTTCGTTGTTCCAGTTGCTTTCATGCGTTTGTGTGCACACGCCCACTCCTTTTGTGGGGAGGGGGGAATAAAGGGAGAGAGGGGGAGGGGGAGATGAGATCACAGAATCCCAGGCTTTGCTTATGCAGCTATGCTAACGTAAAGAAGGGTCGTGCACAGGTGCAAATTCATCTCAGACGGAAATGCTGGATGATCCAAGAAACCACATCAGACTACAGTCTACATCCACGGTGCAAACAAAAACCCGCCTACGGTTTGGTGCAAGTCTACACACACACCACACAGTGAGAGGTCGTGCGCAAACAGGGACAAAAATCAAGTCGCGGGGTGGGCTATCGAAGATCGCTTGCGGGTGGGTAGGGGGAAACAGATTGCACCGAGACCTCCCTGGCTAGATCGAATGAAAACATATTATCGGCTTTCGGGATAATACATTTTCTAGGGTTTCATTTCCTATCTTTACTCCCTTCGGAGAAGATTCCGTCACCCACTCGCAGATCGCATGCTTGGCCTGCCGTAGATCCTGGGCTCAACTCTTGGCATCTCTGCTTTGAAGGATGGCACAACAGGTGACAGAAAAGTATGCTTGCCCAGGATCTTTTAAGAACTGACACCCAGTTTGGATGAACAACAGACCCCTCGGCCAGATCTGATTTTGGGGGAGTTTCCAAGGTTTATGTCCTCCCCTCTAGAAAGTCAGCTCTGCTCCATGGTACCCTAGTTTCATCTTGCCTGTCCCCATTAGATTTACAGCAATGCCATGTTTATTTTGTAACAAGGAGTGAGATGGGGGGGAAGGATAAGGTTGGCAAGGAATCCCAGCAACGCCTAACCTCTGCCCCCTTGCCAATAATCCCATCCAAGGTGATTGTAAAGGACAAGCATTGATCTGGCTGATAGATCCATTAGAGAGCCTTCCCTTTTCCATTCCTTGTCCACCCTATTAAAAGGTGGAAGGCCACTTAAAGGAGAAAGGACTGGAATGTCCTGCAAAAGAGAAATGGTTCTCTGCTCCGTGAAGTGAAGCTCTTGGCCAATGTAGTCTAGTTCTTGAGAAGTGGGCTGTTTTCTTGCAGGCGTTTCATTACCCAACTAGGGAACGGCATCAGTGCTGCGAGGGAGTGAGCTTTGCTCTCTGTTTATATATAAGTAGTTTACCCTGTCAGTGTTGGTATGAGAGTTCTTGGTAGTTCCTTGATTGGAGCATTGTTTACTGTTTGATTGTTGGTCTAGTGTCAATCTTCGTGCTTGTTGATTGCTGAATGCAACGCGCTCTACATGGGGCTACCCTTGAAAAGTGTTCGGAGACTACAGTTGGTCCAGAATGCAGCCGCGCGAGTTATAGTGGGTGCACCTAGATACACCCACATTACACCAATTCTCCGCGAGCTGCACTCGCTCCCTATCGGTCTCCGGGTACAATTCAAGGTGTTGGTTATTACCTTTGAAGCCTTACATGGCTCAGGGCCAGGCTATCTTCGAGACCGCCTTCTACCGCATAGCTCCCAGCGACCGGTAAGATCCCACAGAGTTGGTCTCCTCCGGGTCCTGTCAGCTAAACAATACCGGCTGACGGGCCTGTGGGGGAGGGCCTTCTCTGTGGCTGCCCCGGCTCTCTGGAACCAGTTACCTCCTGAAGTCTGGACCATCCCCACCCTACTGGCCTTCCGGAAAGCGGTGAAGACCTGGCTTTTCCGGCAGGCCTGGGGCCGTTGATCTCGTTATAGTGATCTTGCAAGACCCGGCCACAAATTGGAGTGTATGGGTTTTAACGTTTTAATGTCTTCTTTTACCTTTTGTATGGGGTATTGTTGCATTGTTTTATTCTTGGTTGTAAGCCGCCCAGAGTCCCTTGGGAGTGGGGCGGCATAGAAATGCAACTAACTAACTAACTAACTAACTAACTAACTAACTAACTAACTAAATAAATAAACAAACAAACAAACAAACAAACAAACAAACAAACAAATAAGTGTTTTGGTCTTTTTGTCTGCTTCTTAGCTTTTGGATTGTCTCTTTGGAACCATCCACAGCCCCTCTCTATGATATAAGCAGAAGGCAAACCTAGCATTGAAGATGTTACCCAGTTGGGTAATAAAACGTCTACAAGGCAACAACCATGTGTCAGCGTTCCAAGTAACGCACCCATAGAGTGTAGAAGTCCGAGGCAGGCAATCTCCCCCAAAGAACGGTTTTATTGGATACATCCTATTGGCACAACTGGTAAAAGCCGACTCTGAAAGTTCCCACGGCTTTCACCTAAAGGGGAAAAGTTTTCCCCTTTTCCCCCCAAGTCACTGGTCACGCTGTCCAATCCAGTTGCTGGCTGGTTGCTTGGTTATTTCGCTCCTCCTCTGCCCAGCCACCTGTGAGAACGTCCTTGGGTCCCACAGGAAAACTTTTATTGTTTTGGCTACAAGACCCCATCTGGCTATTTCCCCCCTCCCTCTGTTGTGTGGCAACCCTGAGGCCTCAGCCAGGCTCACTTCAGGGTTGACACCATGCTTAGAGAACACCAGGAACCCGACAGGTCAAGTCTAAGCTACCGATATTCTCTTCTATTTGGCACTACTTGGACTAAGACACAGGAGGCCTGGATTCAAATCTCCACTCAACCCAGGAGAACTTAACTTCTCCCAGCCCAAACGAGCTTATAAATCTTATTGCTAGATTTGAGCAAGGACCTCTTTCCAAACTGAGCTCCGTGTCTGTGAAGTGGTTGGGCTCTTGGTCCTTGAGCAAACACCACATGGCTTTAACCAACACTTAGCAAGGAAGGTACCACTGAACAGAAGCAGGCGCGGGGAGGGGGGGTGAGGGGGTGGGTGTAAGCTCCCTGGCAAAGTAGGCAGAGCTGTTAGTACACCTGGATGACAGTGAGCCACACCAAAAGTTTGGATGCCACCGAGTCGCAGTTGGGCAAGACGTCGGAGAAGATTTACCTTCCATAGCTGCTGGGGGACACCCGGCGGGGGAGCAAGCTAAGCAGAAACAGCAAACAAAAGAATTAGGCATGAGAGAGAGAGGGAGTGGGAGAGGGAGAGGAAGACAGAGAGAGAGGGAGAGAGAGGGAGAGAGAGAGAGGGAGGGAGTGGGAGAGGGAGAGGAAGAGAGAGAGGGGGGAGAGAGGGAGACAGGGAGAGAGGGAGAGAGAGAGGGAGAGAGAGGGAGAGAGAGATGGGAAGAGAGAGAGGGGGAAAGGGAGAGAAAGGGAGAGAGAGGGAGAGAGAGGGAGAGAGGGAGAGAGAGAGAAGGAGAGAGAGAGAGAGGGAGAGAGGGAGGGAGTGGGAGAGGGAGAGGAAGAGAGAGAGGGGGAGAGGAAGAGAGAGGGAGAGGGAGAGAGAGGGAGAGGGAGAGAGAGGGAGAGGAAGAGAGAGAGAGAGGGAGAGAGAGGAAGAGAGAGAGCGGGAGAGGAAGAGAGAGAGAAAGAGAGAGAGAGATGGAGGGAGAGGGAGAGGAAGAGAGAGAGAGGGAGAGAGAGGGAGTGGGAGAGAGAGAGGGAGAGAGAGAGGGAATGGGAGAGAGAGAGGGGGGGAGAGAGAGAGAGAAGCAGAGAAAAGAAATGAAATCACAGCATACATGATGAAACCACTCTTCTGGCCGAGGTCAAGGATATTAATATAATTCAGCTGCTTTTGACGACCAGTGAGGATAAGCAAAGGAGGTTGACCATGGTAACCGAAGCTGTGAAGGAAGAACCTCATGGAGAGGAGCATAAGGCAGTTATCACAAGGCCCAATGTCTCCCTCCCTCCTTCCCTCCCAACCACCAGCAAAGCCCACTCAGTGTTTAGCGGCAGCGGCAGCAAAACAATCACTCGCAAGAGGATTAGTCGAAACCCTTGTAATGACTCCAGCTTTCTTCAACTCCAAAAGCTCTGGCTGAGACTATTGAAAAATCACAACGGTCCCAAAGGTGCTTTCTCAAGAGACAATTGAACTTTCTGGGTTTTTTTTCCTGGAAGAAAAAGAACTTCTTGGATGAGAAGCGAAACGTCTTCCAAGAAAAAAAACAGAAAGTCCAGTTCAGTGGTAAAAATCCAATTTTTTTTTTACTACTGGTTCTATGGGCGTGGCTTGATAGGTGTGGCAGGGGAAGGATACTGCAAAATCTCCATTCCCTCCCCACTCCTGGGGGAAGGATACTGCAAAATCTCCATTCCCTCCCCACTCCTGGGGGAAGGATACTGCAAAATCCCCATTCCCTCCCCACTCCTGGGAAGGACATTGCAAAATCTCCATTCCCACCCCACTCTGGGGGAAGGATACTGCAAAATCCCCATTCCCTCCCCACTCCTGGGGGAAGGACATTGCAAAATCTCCATTCCCACCCCACTCCAGGGAAGGATACTGCAAAATCTCCATTCCCACCCCACTCCTGGGGGAAGGATATTGCAAAATCTCCATTACCACCCCACTCCAGGGGAAGGATACTGCAAAATCCCCATTCCCTCCCCACTCCTGGGGGAAGGATACTGCAAAATCCCCATTCCCTCCCCACTCCTGGGGGAAGGATATTGCAAAATCCCCATTCCCTCCCCACTCTGGAACCAGCCAGAGGTGGTATTTGCCGGTTCCCTAAACTACTCAAAATTTTTGTTACCGGTTCTCCAGAACCTGTCAGAACCTACTGGATTTCAACCTTGGTCCAGTTGCCTCTTGAAAAAAGCACCTTTACTGCAGAATGGAGTGCTGAGACACGAGGAACAATGCAGCGTTGGCCGTGACATGACAGTTTGGCCTTAATCGGTTCCTAGGTGTCAACATACCCTCTTGGGAAACCAGAGAGCGAGTTGAACACTATCTGGTGGAGGCCCCGTCAGAGTGCAGCATTCCGGAAAGCAGGCATATAAATAGCCCGTCTGTTCTTCCTTAGCCAGCTCTCCAACTTCTCTCCTCCAACTGGCCTATTTGCGAGCCAGACTGTGACCCCCTTCGTCGCGAGAAATGCCCTGCTCTTAATTCGTTTCTTCGAATGGATCCCAAAGTCCTTCTCCAAAAGCCAAAAACTTTGACTGGATCTCAGGGCCATCGCTAGATAGCCAAGGGGATGGAAAATAGGATTGAGATCCGGTGACACTAACACACAACAGGTCCAGGTTTAGGAAGTGGGAGAAGATTGTCCCATATTTTTGCAAGGGGGGAATACAACAATCTTCAGTCTAGGTCCCATGTGATCTCTTTGGGCGTTTCCTATCTTAGAAGGAAGGGTTGCTTTCTAAACCAGCAGGACGCTTTGGGAAGGGGTGAAGGACGTGTCCGCTTGGCTAGAGAGAGGCAACTGCCATAGCTCTGGCTTCAGCCTAAGGGAGACAGAGACGATGCCATCTTGTCACTCAATGTTTTTAGAACCGTGAGATTTGAGGGTGGAGGCAGGAGGTGGGGTGAAGAGTGAAGAGGCAGAATGGTGTCACAGGGTGGACTGGAACTGTAGAATTCACAAAAGTATGGATTTTATCACAAGAGCCTGGGACAGTCTCTGCCTGGTTTGAAAGATACAACATGATAATAACAACAAGCAGAAGGGGGAGGGAGGATGCAAGGAAGAGGAAGAAGACAAAGAAGAGGAAGAGGGGGAGAGGGAGAGGAGAGGAGGAGGAGGAGGAGGAGGAGGAGGAAAAGAAAGAAGAGGAGGAGGAGGAAGGAGGAGGGGGAGAAGAAGAAGAGGTGAGGAGGAGGGGGGAAAGGAGGGGGAGGAGAAGAAGAGGAGGAGGAGGGGAGGAGGGGAGAAGAAGAAGAGGAGGAGAAAGAGGAAAGGGGAGAAGAAGAAGAAAAAGAGGAGGAGGAGGAAGAAGAAGAGGAGGAGGAAGGGGAGAAGAAGAAGAAGAGGAGGAGGGGGGGAGGGGGAGAAGAAGAAGAAGAGGAGGAGGGGGAGGAGGAGGAGAAGGGGGGAGAAAGAGAGAAATAAAAATGAAAAAAGAGGGAAGGAAAAGTAGGAAAAGGACTACAAGAACCAGGCATCCTGGACAGTGTAAAACTCATGGGACTTATGCAACCTTCAATAACCATTTGGAAGAGATTCTTCTCTAAACATTTTTGCTTAGTTTTCCCCTTCTGCTAATACAGCAAAACCAAAAACCAAAAAAAAAACAAAAACCCACCATCTGCTTTACAGCCAATACATTCCTAATCCATTTTCACAGTGAACCGACTCAGGATAAGAGGTCCCTGCACTTTCCCACTCGTTATCATCTTTTTTTACAGATGGCAGTAAAAATGGTGGCTTCTTTCCTATCCGGAAATACAAGAAGCTTTTGCAGCATTTCCTCCCCCATGGTGACCGTGTGTTTGTGTGTGAACACGGCATCTCTAAGGAGCTCAGATACTCAGCAAGGCTCCAAGCACTGTAGGTAAATCATGCCATAACGGGATTAACATCAAGTCCTTTTTATACTTTTATCTTGATTTTCCACCCCTTAATTGAGGGAAGCATACACCTGCGTTTGTTTTATTCCTGCTTTATCCTCTCAACAGGCTTTTAAGGTAGGCTAGGCTGAGATATAAAAACTGGCCCAAGGTCAATAAATGAGGGTCAGAGGAAGAAATCCAGATTTTCCAATCCTTGTTTACTAGATTTATTTGCTACTTCCTACGATATCATGATCCCCCAGATCATTAGAACTTTGTCACCCACGAACCTTTACATGTTAATGACTGCTTTAATATAAAGGAGTGTCCCTTCCAAGCTCAAAGTAGATCCACTATTGGATCAACAGGAGTCCAAGAGTTGAACTAGATTAACAAGAGCCTTGGTGGTGCAGTGGACTAATGTGCTGTTAAGTGCTGTTAACTGCTTGCAATTGCTGCAAGTTCAAATCTCACCAGGCAAATCTCAAAGTTGACTCAGCCTTCCATCCTTCCGAGGTAGGTAAAATGAGGACCCACTTTGTGGGGGCAATAAGCTGACTTTGTATAAAGTAGAACACCGCTTGGGGGGGCCAAAAGCCCTACTAAGCAGGTATATACAAAAGTATGAAGGCTATTGCTTAACGCATTGTAAGCCGCCCTGAGTCTCCGGAGGAGGGTGGCATATAAATCGAACCAATAAATAAATAAATAAATAGATCCTGTTCTTAATTCAAATAAGCCTTATTATACCATTTAAAATGGTATAGGTTCCCCTGTTTGAACAAGGGGCTCGATTAGAAGACCTCCAAGGTCCCTTCCATCTCTATTCTATTCTTATTTGAGAGAAGCAACCTGGAATTAAAGAGAAACTTCCTAACAGTGGGGACAATTAACCAGTGGAACAGCTGGCCTCCAGAAATCGTGGTTGCTCCATCACTGGAGGTTTTTAACAAGAGACCGGGCAGTCACTTGTCTGAATTGGTATAAGGATTCCTGCTTGAGCAAGGGGCTGGACTAGAAGACCTCCAAAGTCCCTTCCAGCTCTATCCTGATTCTTAAAACTTCAACCTATCCGACAATATCGGTCCAAAAGTAACTGAGCAGAAAGTACCCTCATCATCATCATATATATTTTTTTTTAAAAAAAGGAAATTCAATTCTGAAGCAAGCAAACCCAATGCTAATCCATGCCTAAATTAAAAGGACTCTTGGATACGACTTGTCGCTTGCAGTTGACACCAAAGCTGCCAAGGATGGTGTCTGTTTGTTTATGTCTGTATCCACACAGGCAAATCCATGCAGATTTTTTTTTCCTCCCAACTTTTTCAAAGCCAGGATGCCCTTGCCTTTTTCCTAGGGCTGAGAGAGGGTGACTGGCTTTGTCTCTTTGGAAGGACCAGCACTTGAGGACTCCTGATGACTTTAACCACTAAAGAGACTCTCGGTACCAAGATCACACGGTCTATTTTGGAACGCAAGGGCCTAGACAGTCCCATTGTTTTCCTATCCTGTGGGAAATTGTGGACTTTCCCGAAGGCGCCTGGATCAATATATGGGAAAGAGGATAAGTCACCCAGTTTGGTTTGCTGTCTAAGGCAGGACTAGAATTTCCAGCTTTCCGTTTCTAGCCTGGTGCCTTTGAACCCCAGCATCAAAAGGGTCAAAAATGATCAAGAACTTTGCACAATTCTAGCCAAATGGATTCCTAAGTTTATAACCCATCCAGTTCGGTGAGATTTATTCCCCTAACAAACAATTTCACAACGGAGACTTTAAAGGGAAGATCTCTCTTGGTCTACTCCAGAGGTCTTCAAACCTCTGTTTGAAGTCCACAAGCTTTCAAGCTGCCAAGTTTGAAGACCTCTGGTCTATTCAGTGCCACCAATTTATTGCTCCTGGCTCAGCTGGGAGAGAAACACCAGCCTTCAAAACTATACGAAAGAAACCCCCCACCCCACCCCCCCAAGCTCAGAGCTCCTTCCCAAAAGATTGTCAAGGGAGAAAACCAGACAAAAAGCTGGTTTCTGTGGGAAGCAGCTAATTCAAGAAACTCTTCCACGCTGTTCAGAAGAGCCCTTAAGACTTCCAAGAATGAATAGAAACACGGGGCATTTTAGCTATCTGGGGTTCTAAGAGGCTGGAAAAAAAAAATCAGACACCCGTTTACAGCTTCATTCAGAAGCCCAGAGTAGTATCTGGTCTCCTCCATCCCTCACCTTTCTCTCCCCTCCCCTCCTCTCCCCCAGTCCTCCCCTCCTCCAGCTCTGTGACATAGACTCCTCAGCAATCTGTTTCTTGGCCTCGCCCTCCTCCCCTTCCCCTTCAGATTGGGGGTCTGGTGGTTCCAACTCCAGAATCCTCACCCCTTCCCCATTTCTTTAAAAGTTGGGTGAAATTTTGCTGGGGAAGGGGTCTTGGGACCCAGGAACTGGGCCAGGGTCATGTTTCTGGGGGTGGGAAGTCCAATCGCACTTGGCCAATAAAGAATTCTATTCTATTCTATTCTATTCTATTCTATTCTATTCTATTCTATTCTATTCTATTCTATTCTATTCTATTTTCTATTCTATTCTATTCTATTCTATTCTACTCTATTCCTTGTTCTGTTCTACTCTACTCTACTCTACTCTACTCTACTCTACTCTACTCTACTCTACTCTATTGTACAAGCAGCCCCAGCCCGACAGAAAGAACCCCTTTCTCTCTTTTTTTAGGGTTCCAGCCCTCCCAACGCCTTATGTACTCAGGGGTAGCCTGTCCCTGCAAGAAGTTGGGGGGGTGGGGGGTGAGGCTCCATTTCGGCCACTTGGGCTTTTTACCCGGAGCTCTTCCGCCCGCTTGAATCGCCCTCTCCTCCTCCTTCCGAAAGTAGACCAGCGACCCCCCCCCAACACCTCTCAACCCCTGAATCTTGTGGCCGCGAATTCCGCAAGCCACGGCTCTTCCAAAGGAGTCCTCGCTCCGTCTCACCGTCTTCTAACCTGATCTGGTGCCCGGCACAGAGGCTTCCCAAGCGAGGGCCACCTTGGGACCCTCCGGGAGGCGCCTCTCCTGCTGAAAAAGACCCCCTCCCCGGCGCCTGGCAAAGGGAGCGCAGCGCCCTTTGGCTTCCAAGGGGGCCCGGGAGCTTCCTCGTCCCCAGCGGAGCCCTACCTGTTCTCGGGGCGCACGCTAAGCAGGTAGCTGCGCCTATCCGGCCGGTACTCCACCAGGGGCCCGTTATCCTCGCCATCGCTGCCGGGCCCGGGGCAATACCCCACGGAAGACCCGTTGCCCGAGTGGGAGCGGCCCAGGGGTCTCCGGCGGGAGCCCATCGCGATCAGCCCAGCTGCGCAAAGGAACGGCCGAGGCGCTTAGTCCGGCGAGCGGGGAGCAGGGCAGGCAGATAGACAGGCGGGGGGTCCCGGGCGGCTCCCAGTCGGGGCTGAGTGGGCTGCGGGGGCCGCTCCGCGCAGCCCCAGCGCCGCAGCCGTCAATCACCCCGGGAGGGCTGCGACCCGGCTATTTATAGGCAGCCCACTTGGGGCCGTCACTCAGGCGGAGCCGAGGGGGCTGCCCGGCTGGGGGCTCGGCCAGTCGGCAGGGCCGGGCTAGGATGGGACCCTCGCGAGGCAACAGAGGCCGTCGAGGGTGGGTGGGTGGTCCCTTGCGCTGCAGGGAGGTCCCCGCCGGTCGCCTAAAGGGGGTCTTGGACTCTCCTTTTCCCAGCGCTTGTTCCGTGGCAAGAAAACGGACCGTCCCCATTGAAGCAGGTCTCCCACTAGAAGTGAGTTTCAGCAGGTTCTGACCAGTTCTGGAGAACCGGTAGCAGAAATTTGGAGTAGTTGGAAGAACTGGTAGTAAAAATTCTGACTGGCCCCGCCCCCATCTATTCTCTGCCTCCCAAAGTCCCAGCTGATAGGGAGGAAATGGGGATTTTGCAGTAACCTTCCCCCCCCTGGAGTGGGGTGGGAAGGGAGATTTTACAGTGTCCTTCCCCTGCCACGCCCACCAACCCACGCCCACAGAACCGGTAGTAAAAGAAATTTGAAACCCACCACTGTTTCCACCTCTCCCCCCCCCCCATCCTCGCTGCCAAGAGAACTCTGGATGGCGGCAAGTCCAAAATAGAAAGCAGAATCACCGACTTGGAAGGGACCTTGGAGGTCTTCTAGTCCAACCTTCCATCCCCCCCCCCACGGTTCTAGTTCAACCACCGCTTGCAGTTTCACATCCTCCTTGTTAGGATCATCAAGTCATCCCGACTGCCCCGCCCTCCTCGCTCTTCCCCACCCAGTGGTGTCCTCTCCCTTTTCGAGTAACTGGCTTATTGAACCTTAAAGACAATGAGTATTGGGAGCACATTGGAGCTCCGGGTAGCTGGTCTTCAGGTTCTTTTCACTGGAGAGAAATGTCCAGATTTTGCACCTAGGCATTGACTGACACAACTGTAATGACCTAATGGGTTGAGAACATTAGGAGCCTTGGTGGCGCAGCAGACTAAAGTGCTGTTAAGTAGCACTTACGGCCAGCTGCCTGCAATTACTGCGAGTTCAAATCTCACCAGGACCAAGATTGACTCAGTCTTCCATCCTTCCGAGGTAGGTAAAACGAGGACCCGGATTGTGGGGGCAATAAACTGGCTTTGTATTTAAAAAAAGAACACCGCTTAGGGGGGGCCCAAAGCCCTACTAAGCAGGTATATACAAAAGTATGAAGGCTATTGCTTAACACATTGTAAGCTGCCCTGAGTCTCCAGAAAAGGGCGGCATATAAATCGAACCAATAAATAAATAAATAAACATCTGATAGAGTTCTCTAGGAGACAAACTTCACACATGCACCACACACACACACACACACACACACACAGAGAGAGGGAGGGAGAATACAAATTGCAAGGAAAATGGGATGAGGTCCTGCTGTAATGGAACAGTAGCCTTGAAGATATTTGGAGGAGAAGAGCCTGTATCTTTGTATTCCTTCGGTGTTCAAAATGCAAAACAGAGCATTGCCCAGATCCTATTCTTTTGGGATAATTGGAGTTGTTCTCTGAACCTAGGACTACCTGGGAATAAAAGGGTTAAAGCTAGCATGGCCAACCTATGACCCTCCTGTTGTGCACCCTAAACCTATAAGCCCCAGCCAGCATGGCCAAGGGCCGAGGGTCCAGCTTCCATAACCTCACACTTGGCCCCTTTCCCATTAACCCAACCGCCTCTCTATCACCTTCGCACTTCTGGCTGGGATTGGCTACTTTGGGATCCAGTAGTAGGCCATGCAATCCAGCCAGTGAAATGACCAGATGACCTGTTCGGCTGTGAGGTTAACTCCATGGGTGTGAGAGGCCCCCAGGGAAGTGTTTTCAGCTCCTGTTGTTTGTTTGTTTGTTTTTAATTCTTGCATTACAATCTGATTCAACAAGTCCCACTTTAAGCAGCATCATGTGCCGTGGGGTATGCTGGAGAGAGGGCAGAGCAGAATGTCTTTTGCGTCACCGGCCTGGCTATCTGCCTTCCCTGGATCTACCTCTCCGGATTCCCTGCCTTTGGCTGGTACACTTGTAAATGTTAGGATGCCGGACGGCTTCTTTTTCTAGCGGATTAAAAAGACTAGACTTTTGGATAGGATACTCACAGGAACAGAGGATAAATTCATTTTAAAAATTTATAATTTTTTACATAGCATCGAGTTAGAGGAAGAACAAGTAAAGGAAAACAATGATAGCTTGGGCAAAGAATTTTGGACACTCAATTGGTTTAGATAAATGGCAACAGTTATGGGAAAGGAATTGCAATCCAACAATGTCCACTGCATATAAAGAGAATCAATATAAAATGTTTTACAGATGGCATATGCCCCCAAGAAACTGGCAAAAATGTTTAAAGATAAATCAGTTAAATGTTGGAAATGTTACCAGTTACCAGGATTTTATCATCATATGTGGTGGACATGTTCCGAAGCTAAAAACTATTGGAATAATATTAAGAGATGGTTAGAAGCAGTGGTGGGATTCGTCCAGTTCTCACCACTTCGGGAGAACCGGTTGTTAACTTTCTGAGCAGTTTGGCAAACTGGTTGTTGGAAGAAATCATTAGGGCAGAGAACCAGTTGTTAAATTACTTGAATCCCACCACTGGTTAAAAGAAATTATACAATAATGTATTGATTTAAAACCAGAGCTGTTCCTGCTGGGTATCCTTCCAGAGAAAACTGGCAAAGAAAATACTTATTTGCTTATACATATAATAACAGCTGCAAGGATTGTTTTTGCATAAAATTGGAAAGCAGAGAAAATACCTCTGGAAGGAGAAGTAATTAAAATTAGGCTGTGCAGAAATGAATAGATTAACTCTGATGATTAAAGAAAGAGAGCATTCAGAATACTTTAAGATATGGGATCAATTTTACCATTGGTTAGAAAAGAGATATAGATAAGTAAATTAATAGTTATGTAAAAAAACTCAGTATAATTAAAATATTGTACATTTGGAGAAAGGTAAAAATGAAGACAGAAGAATCAACAACAACGAAAACAAAGATGAAGTCATGGAGAAAACACCGAGAGGTCATAGGGAAGGGAAGAATGATGTATGAAATGTTTGTGTATAAAATAAAAAACTTTTTTAAAAAAAGACTAGAGTTTCTTTTCCTACAGCTTAATTGTGCGTGGCACTTTTATGAGCCGTGTCCGTCATGGTGGGGTTGAGAAATGGAGGTTATTTAAAAGAGTCCGTGCAGGCAGCAGGTATGATAAAACTTCTCTCGCAAATCAGGGAGGAATTACGCAGTTCACACAACATGTGCTTTGATCTTGATCCTTCTTTTTATTAAAAAAAAGATACCTTCCTCCAAGGGAACACTGGTCCAAATTTAATCTCCCTCGTCTCCGGGGCGTGATAAAAGTCTCAAACTGTTCTTGGCTCCAGAATCAAAGCAAAACTTTCCCCTCTGAGTTCTACCCTACAAAACTCCTTGCGATTTCGACTCGGCTTCCTGCAACCTTACCAAAACAAAAAGCATCCTTTGCCAATTGCAGCAGATAGATTTCGCAAAGCGCGCTGAGTCATGTTGGAGCAAATCAGTTTTTGGCGTGGGTTGGGTTAGGGAACGCCAATTTCTGGAAAAGTTTCTTCACTCTTAGGAATCTTCCTTTGGAAGGAACTCTTAGCCTATCCTCCCCCTCTACACGCACTCATACACAAACACGCGCATAACACTGAAGGGCAGTGGTGTCATCTTTTTTGGCAGATGTTTGGAAACCCAAATGGAACAGGACTGGCTTCTGGTGTCTTCAAGTAAGAGAAGCATGATCAATAACAGCTGGCTCTGTAATATATCGTATTTTTTGGAGCATAAGATGCACCTACTTTTTTTGGTGAGGAAAACAAGAAAAAGAAATCTGCCTCCCAGCAATTTTGCCTCCTTGCAGCAAACAGCAAACAGCCTGCTTTGCTTTCATTTTCGTTTTCAGCATAGCTTGATTAGCACAAGGAAAAAAAATCTGCTCCAGCAATTTACCTCTTTACAGCAAGCAGCAGAGCCCTGCGCAAAACAGCTGAGAGCAAAACAGCTGAGACTCGGGAGGCCGATCCAATCAACTTGTGCTAATTAGGCTGTGCTGAAGCTGAAAGGACCTGTTTCTTCTTGCTGTTTGCTGCAAGGAGGTAAACTGCTGGGAGGCAGAGGCTAAAGAGTGGGGGCCAGTGGGTGGGTGGGGCTACATTCGGTGTATAAGACGGACCTAAATTTTCACCCCCTTTTAGGGGGGAAAAAGGTGTGTCTTATACTCCGAAAAATACGGTAATTGGAAGGGGATCCATACTTCAATATGCGTATATGCTACAATATAAGAATATACACCGCAGTGCAAATACTACAACCCCTCCCTATCCCAATCTATTAACACACAATGCCTTGAACCACAAACTGGGTGAATTTAGCGGGTCCTTGGTGCTCTCTGAGCTGGGTTGTTTTGTTGCAGACTTTTCATTACCCAACTGGGTAACAAAGTTTTAGCACTGATGAGGTTCCCTAGTTGGGTAATGCAATGTCTGCAAAGAAAACAACCAAGCTCCAAGAGCACCAAGGAGTCCCTCATTTCAATCCCAAACTCCAAAACATTCTCCTTTATCAGTAACTGCATTTTAACCCAATGTGCTACTTACGAATCCAGCTTGAGTGATGAGTTTATCATTCAGGCTGTGTTGTCTGAATCCAGAGAGTGGGACGAATGCACTAAATCGTTAACCATGTGTGAGTTGGGCAGCCATAGAAATATCAACAACCTCAGATATGCAGATGATACCACTCTAATGGCAGAAAGTAAAGAGGAACTAAAGAGCCTCTTGATGCGGGTGAAGGAGGAAACTGCAAAAGTTGGCTTGAAATTCGACATTAAGAAAA